GGACGGTTCATTATAATATCTGGAAACCACGTGTTTGATACCATTCCAGCCATTATTATGAGCCGTCCTCCCCTCAGCAGCCTCCACTTGTCACAGGCCACTATTAGACCGCTATTGCAATGGAGGTTCTATTTATTGCCTGGATGGCCTGTCGCTCCCTCCCTCCCTCTCTTCCCTCCCTCTCTTTTCATAGCCTCTTCTTTCTCACATTCTCTTGCTCTCTCCATCTCCCTCTCCATTCCATGTCTCTCTCTCTCTCTCTCTCTCTCTCTCTCTCTCTCTCTCTCTCTCTCTCTCTCTCTCTCTCTCGCTCTGTCTCTCTCTCCCTCTCTCCCTCCCTCTCTCCATCTCTCTCCCATAGGCTGGGGGGTGACTGAGCTGAGCCAGCTACTTTTAAAATCCTTTTTCAACAGGCATTCAAAACAAGACCCTCTTTCATTGAGCCACACACACTCTCACACGCACGCACACACACACACAAACACGCATGTTATGTTCTTCTATCCACGTGGGGACCTAAAATTAATTTCCATTCAAAATCCTATTTTACCTAACTCCTAAACCTGACCCTAACCTTAACCCGTAACCCTAACCCTAACCTTAACCCTAACCCTAAACCAAATTCCTAACCCTAAACCTAACCACTAACCTCTTACCCTAACCCTAATTCTAACCCTAACCCGATTTGTAACCTAGCCCTAAACCAAACCCCTAAGCTTAAAATAGCCTTTGTCCTCATGGGGACGTGGGAAATGTCCCCACGAGGGAGAATTTTCCTTGTTTTACTATCCTTGTGGGACTTTTGGGGATTTTAGGTCCCCACAAGGATAGAAGAACCAACACACACACACACAGTATATCTCTGGGGATTAGACTGAACTGCAGTCACACAGTATATCTCTGGGGATTAGACTGAACTGCAGTCACACAGTATATCTCTGGGGATTAGACTGAACTGCAGTCACACAGTATATCTCTGGGGATTAGACTGAACTGCAGTCACACAGTATATATCTGGGGATTAGACTGAACTGCAGTCACACAGTATATCTCTGGGGATTAGACTGAACTGCAGTCACACAGTATATCTCTGGGGATTAGACTGAACTGCAGTCACACAGTATATATCTGGGGATTAGACTGAACTGCAGTTACATAGTACAGTGCCTTCAGAAAGTATTCGTATCCCTTGACTTATTCCAAATGTTGTTGTGTTATAGCCTGAAAATTAATCACATCGATTTTTTCTCTCACCCATCTACAAACAATACCCCAGAATGGCAAAGATGAAAACATGTTTTTAGACATTTTTGCAAATGTATTGAAAACGAAATACAGAAATATCTGATTTACATAGAGTACCAGTCAAAAGTTTGGACACCTACTCATTCATGGGGTTTTCTTTATTTTTACTATTTTCTACATTGTAGAATAATAGTGAAGACATCAAAACTATGAAATAACATATGGAATCATGTAGTAACCAAAAAAGTGTTAAACAAATCAAAATATATTTTATATTTGAGATTCTTCAAAGTATAACCCTTAGCCTTGATGACAGCTTTGCACACTCTTGGCATTCTCTCAACCAGCTTCACCTGGAATGCTTTTCCAACAGTCTTGAGTTCCCACATATGCTGAGCATTGGCTGCTTTTCCTTCACTCTGCGGTCCAACTCATCCCAAACCATCTCAATTGGGTTGAGGTCAGGTGATTGTGGAGGCCAGGTCATCTGATGCAGCACTCCATCACTCTCCTTCTTGGTCAAAAAGCCCTTACACAGCCTGGAGGTGTGTTGGGTCATTGTCCTGTTGAAAAACAAATGATAGTCCCATTAAGCCAAAACCAGATGGGATAGCGTATCGCTGCAGAATGCTGTGGTAGCCATGCTGGTTAAGTGTGCCTTGAATTCAAAAATAAATCACAGACAGTGTCACCAGCAAAGCACCCTCACACCATCACACCTCCTCCTCCATGCTTCACGGTGGGAACCACATATGCGGAGATCATCCGTTCACCTACTCTGCGTCTCACAAAGACACGGCGGTTGGAACCATAAATCTCAAATTTGGACTCATCAGACCAAAGGACAGATTTCCACCATTGCTCGTGTTTCTTGGCCCAAGCAAGTCTCTTCTTCTTATTGGTGTCCTTTAGAAGTGGTTTCTTTGCAGCAATTCGACCATGAAGGCCTGATTCACGCAGTCTCCTCTGAACAGTTGATGTTGAGATGTGTCTGTTACTTGAACTCTGTCAAGCATTTATTTGGGCTGCAATCTGAGGTGCAATTAATTCTAATGAACTTATCCTCTGCAGCAGAGGTAACTCTGGGTCTTCCTTTCCTGTGGCGGTCCTCATGAGAGCCAGTGTCATCATAGCGCTTGATGGTTTTTGCGACTGCACTTGAAGAAACATTCAAAGTTCTTGACATTTTCTGGATTCACCTGACCTTCATATCTTAAAGTAATGATGGACTGTCATTTCTCTTTGCTTTTTAGAGCTGTTCTTGCCATAATATGGACTTGGTCTTTTACCAAATAGGGCTATCTTCTGTATACCACCCCTACCTTGTCACAACACAACTGATTGGCTCAAACACATTAAGAAATAAAGAAATTCCACAAATAAACTTTTAACAAGGCACACCTGTAAATTGAAATGCATTCCAGGTGACTACCACATGAAGCTGGTTGAGAGAATGCCAAGAATGTGCAAAGCTGTCATCAAGGCAAAGGGTGGCTACTTTGAAGAATCTCAAATCTCAAATATATTTTGATTTGGTTTAACATGTTTTTGGTTACTACATGATTCCATATGGGCTATTTCATAGTTTTGATGTCTTCACTATTATTCTACAAAGAAAACCCCTGGAATGAGTAGGTGTGTCCAAACTTTTGACTGGTACTGTAAGTATTCACACCCCTGAGTCAATACTTTGTAGAAACACCTTTGGCAGCGATTACAGCTGTGAGTCTTTATGGGTAAGTCTCTAAGAGCTTTCCACACCTGGATTGTGCAACATTTGCCCATTATTCTTTTCAAAATTCTTCTAGCTCTGTCAAATTATTTATTGACCATTGCTAGACAACCATTTTCAACTAGATTTAGGTCAAAACTGTAACTCGACCACTCAGGAACATTCACTGTGTTCTTGGCAAGCAACTCCAGTGTAGATTTGGCATTGTGTTTTAGGTTATTGTCCTGTTGAAAGGTGAATTCATCTTCCAGTTTCTGGTGGAAAGCTGACTGAACCAGGTTTCCTCTAGGATTTTGCCTGTGCTTAGCTCCATTCTGTTAATTTTTTATCCTGAAAAACTCCCCAGTCCTTAACAATTACAAGCATACCCATAACATGATGCAGCCACCACTATGCTTGAAAATATGGAGAGTGGTACTCAGTAATGTGTTGCATTGGATTTGCCCCAAACATAACAATTTGTATTCAGGAAATTTCTTGAAATTCACTGCCCGACTGAGGGACCTTACTGATAATTGTATGTGTGGGGTACAGAGATGAGGTAGTCATTCAATAATCATGTTAAACCCTATTTTGCACAAATAGTGAGTCCATGCAATTTATTATGTGACTTGTTAAGCATATTTGTACTCCTGAACTTATTTAGGCTTGCCATAACAAAGGAGTTGAATACTTATTGACTAAAGACATTTCAGCTTTTAATGTTTAATGAATTTATAAAGAAATTGAAAAACATAATTCCACTTTGACGTTATGGGGTATTGTGTGTAAACCAGTGACCAAAAAATCTAAATTAATCCATTTTAAATTCAGGCTTTAACGCAACAAAATGTGGAAAAAGTCAAGGGGTGTGAATACTTTCTGAAGGCACTGTAAATCACTGGGGATTAGACTGAATGTGATTCTCATGCTTAGATGTGTCCCCTCCCCACTTCCTCTTGGGAGTTCCGGCAATTTATATGGACCTCAGGAATGCACAAATGGAACTCATTTGGAGGTAGACATCCCAGTAATTGTTTTCATGTGAAAACACAATCTTCAAAGTGTGTGTTTGAGTGTGTGCTGCCTCTCTCCTACCTTTCAGCGCTCTGTCTGCCTAGATTACACTTCATCCTCCTTCTAGACTTAGCTGATTTTTGCTACCTCGACAGGCTTAAGATGTAATGTTTATCCACTGCTAAGCAATAGAGGAGATGAGAGTGGTACAAACAGGCTCCCGTCCTCACGTCAATATTTGTTTTCCATTTCGTGCCAGTCGTGACGAGAAAACAGCTCAGAGCCAGTAACTTTAATCTAGCTCGTTTGAGTCAAATGAGCGTTTGGGACTACTGCGGCTCTCAACGTACACTTATCTCCACATTTGATCTGAAACCGCTGAAGATTCCGTGATTCTGTTTCCCTCCCCTTTTCAGGGAAAATGTGTGAAGACACATGCAGAAACGGGAAAATCAAAGGTTGGGAAAAATCGGGATTATAGACTGATGTTTCATTAACATTCCCAGTGGGTTATTCCAGACCTGTGTGATAATTTTAATATGGTAATGTAAGTACATGTTCTATCGTTGCTACCAAAAAGAGTTGTCAGAACTTGACACTGAGTAGCAGTGAGTGATGGAAATGTATCAGGTGCTGAATACACAGTATACAACAAATTATTAAAGATGCTACAGTATACATTATCATACAACAATAATGCAAGATTTTCACACTAGATCAAACAAACATTTTTATTAAGTGATTAAAAGAAAACAAAGTGTGTTATGTCAATACATTTACATTATTAATAACCGATGTCAAAAAGAACATAATACCCCAACTCATAAACCAACCCAAAATGACTGAGACTTCTCAAAACCAGAGTAGTTGACTTCAAAGGGTTTCAAGAGCAAAAAGAGACATGTACATGGAAAAGATTAGCTTCTCAATGGGAGCTTTGTCAGGCTGATTTCTTTATGTCTCTAAAAACTTCTGATTTCCCATGAGCTAGTACTAGCCTAGCATCCTCTACTCTGACATTGACATAATGTTTGTCCTTGGAAAGGAGCTGAGATACTTTGTGTTCCAAACTAACTGCTACACCTCAATACTGACGTCTTCATGTGGGAGAACACTGATTCTCACAACGGTAACATGAATGCAACTGGTGCACTAAGAAATATCAAGTCTGCGTTATACTGCATCTAGGATATATCTTAATTAAAAAACGGATGGCTTTGATTTCTGACGGTTCGAAAGAGGGTTTAAAATGTGTTTACAGAGCCATAATTTACTGAACAAAAATATACATGTAAAGTGTTGGTACCATGTTTCATGAGCTGAAATAAAAGATCCCAAAAATCTTCCATGCACACGAGAAGCTTATTTCTCTCAAATTTTGTGCACAAATTTCTTTACATCCTTGTTAGTGAGCATTTCTCCTTTGCCAAGATAATCCATCCACCTGACAGGTGTGGCATATCAAGAAGCTGATTAAACAGCATGATCATTACACAGGTGCACCTTCTGCTGGGGACAATAAAATGCCACTCTAAAATGTGCAATTCTGTCACACAATACAATGCCTCAGATGTCTAAAGTTTTGAAGGAGCGTGCAATTGGCATGCTGACAATTAAAAAAAAATATATATATACCTTATTTACACAAGCATTCAGACCCTTTGCTATGAGACTCGAAATTGAGCTCAGGTGCATCCTGTTTCCATTGATCATCCTTGAGATGTTTCTACAACTTGATTGGAGTCCACCTGTGGACCAAGCCATGAGGTCGAAGGAATTGTCTGTAGAGCTCCGAGACAGGATTGTTTCAAGGTACAGATCTGGGGAAGGGTAGCAAAACGTTTATGCAGCATTGAAGGTCCCCAAGAACACAGTGGCTGCCATCATTCTTAAATGGAAGAAGTTTGGAACCATCAAGACTCTTCCTAGAGTTGGCCGCCCGGCCTAACTGAGCAATCGGGGGAGAAGGGCCTTGGTCAGGGAGGTGACCAAGAACCCGATGGTCACTCTGACAGAGCTCCAGAGTTCCTCTGTGGAGATGGGAGAACCTTCCAGAAGGACAACCATCTCTGCAGCACTCTACCAATCAGGCCTTTATGGCAGAGTGGCCAGACGGAAGCCACTCCTCAGTAAAAGGCACATGACAGCCCGCTTGGAGTTTGCCAAAAGGCACCTAAAGGACTCTCAGACCAAGAGAAACAAGATTCTCTGGTCTGATGAAACCGAGATTGAACTCTTTGGCCTGAATGCCAAGCGTCATGTCTGGAGGAAACCTGGCACCATCCCTAATGGGAAGCATGGTGGTGGCAGCATCATGCTGCAGGGATGTTTTTCAGTGGCAGGGACTGGGAGACTAGACAGGATCGAGGGAAAGATGAACAGAGAAAAGTACAGAGAGATCCTTGATGAAAACCTGCCCCAGAGTGCTCAGGACTTGATTCTGGGGCGACGGTTCACCTTCCAACAGGACAACGACCCTAAGCACACAGCCAAGGCAACACAGGAGAGGCTTTGGGACAAGTCTCTGAATGTCCTTGAGTGGCCCAGCCAGAGCCCGGACTTGAACCCGATGGAACAACTCTGGAGTGACCTGGAAATAGCTGTGCAGCGATGCTCCCCATCCAACCTGACAGAGCTTGAGAGGATCTGCAGAGAAGAATGGGAGAAACTCCCCAAATACAGATGTGCCAAGCTTGTAGCGTTATACCCAAGAAAACTCGAGGCTATAATCGCTGCCAAAGGTGCTTCAACAAAGTACTGAGTAAAGGGTCTGAATACTTATGTAAATGTGATTCCGTTTTTATTTCGAAAAACTGTTTTTGCTTTGTCATTATGGGGTGTTGTGTGTAGATTGATGAGTGGGAAAAACGATTTAATCCATTTTAGAATAAGGTTGTAACGTAACAAAATGTGGAAAAAGTCAAGGGGTCTGAATACTTTCCGAATGCACTGTATATGATTATTTAAGCTATGTTACGCATTCTATGTTAAGTGGATAAGTGAAATGCCTTTGCACTTAATTGGTGAAGACTTGTTTTTGGTTTGGTGTCAGTGGCATCCATCTTGATTAGAACCCTCAGTGTGGTTATTGGCAGACAGTACTAGTATTGACCAGTATCCAGCAGGAGTTTAAACATTTACATTTACATTTACGTCATTTAGCAGACGCTCTTATCCAGAGCGACTTACAAATAAACCCAACAGGAAAAAGTGTCAGGATTGAGATGGGCTAATCTGCCTGTGGATGTCATTCCAGCACATCACACACATACACACACACACACACACACACACACAGAGGGCCCAACCAAGCTCTTTATCCAATTAACATGTCCCAGCCAAACAAACAGAGGGGACACCATTTGGGGTGCTCTCTTCTGGTGGGCCCCCAAGGGGAGAGCAGGGGAGAGAGAGGAGGGGAGCAAATGCAGACGGGGGGGACAAATGCAGGCTCTGCTGTCCAAACAGTCCCCCGTCCCTCGGCCCAGCTGTTGGCCCACACTGTTCCCTAACACACCGACAATACTGTCACCACCACCATAACCATCGTAACCACCCTCTGACAAGATACAACCTGCAAGGTCCACCGCTATGTCAACATGTTACGTGACTTTTTAAGACCACACTTCATGTAGACAATGTGGGAAGTGGGAAGGTATTATGTGATGGGTTGTGATTGGTGAGAAAGGAGCGTCCATAACACTTAACGTGGATAGGTCAATTCAGTTCAAATTCACATTCAATTGTTGAATTGAACAAATCCTGAATTGGTGGGAAAAAAGAATTGAAGCCAATGGACAATTTCTAATTATTTTCCAATATGGAATTGACCATGACCCCAATCTTGAAACCTCTCTGTGATGTGCTTCATAACTTACAGTAACTGTTACGGTGAAAGAGCCTTGGTGCCCGTGGCTCCTTAACGACGCTGGCTCATACTGGCAGATAGACACACTGTCCTGTCCCGTCCTAGCCTCTCTGAGCGCCTGTCCTGTCCTGTCCTAGCCTCTCTGAGCGCCTGTCCTGTCCTGTCCTAGCCTCTCTGAGCGCCTGTCCTGTCCTGTCTGGGGCTCTCCGGCCCCCATTGCCCTTCCCCCATCTCCCACCAACACAATGGACTTACTCATCTCTCCCCTCCAGACAAAAAGGCCTGTGGCTAAACGCCAGCCTCTTTTATGTGGCCGGACCCCACAGCCATGACTTCCACTGCTATTGTCTGGATTCCTACTTTACTGCCACCACAGCATATCTTAAATGCTTAAACCGCCGAAGTTTGGTATTGGTCATGACAAGGACTGAGAATGTCCTGCTTTTCAGTGTCAGAGACACATCACAAAGAGGGGAGCGAAAGGAAATATTTATACGATACTTAAGAAATTCACCTGACAATTTCACATAAGATAAAATCAACTGTGGGTCTTACTGTGGGTCTTACTGTGGGTCTAACTGTGGGTCTAACTGTGGGTCTAACTGTGGGTCTTACTGTGGGTCTAACTGTGGGTCTTACTTATTATCACACACAGACAGTTTGGTCTGTATTGTAACAGGCCAGAGGTTAGGAACAAGGTCTTTATTAGTAGGTGATTAGTAGAGAGAAGGACAAAGCTCTGTGGCGGCCATCTTTCTTTAGGGGCCTTGTTTTGGTCCAGGCTTTTTAGCTGTGGGGCACAGAGAGCGGGACTTGGCTCCGCTCTTTGAGCCCCACAGCCCCGGCCCATGGGGAAGCTCAACTGGTGAGAACTGGGCACTTTTGTTGGCTTAGGGGCGGATGGGTAATCCCCCTGTCGCTCCCCTGCAGCCTGGTTCCCCTCGTTCCCACTGACTGGGTCCCCCAGACTGTCGCCTTTTGCCTTGTTATCTTCCCCCCACAGAGGCTAGTCCGGCTGCCCGTCGGGAAGCACAGCTCTATTCATTAGTTATAATGTTAGTCCAAATGGAAAAGTGTTAGTAAGTATATGTGTTTTCATTTTGTCTCGTAGGTCAGTGTACCCTTTGACACAATTCAGTCTTCAAACACACTAGTCAGACATTTTCACTTATCCTTTGAGACAACCTCCGCCAAACCCGCCCCCCCCCCCCCCCCCCCCCTCCCCCTCCCCACCTGATCCAAAATGGCAGCTAATTACCGTGGTGACACGGCAAAAACAATCCTCTGCTTGTTTCCCCTGGCTACTGGCAGCCAGGTCTGGCTAGCTCACATCAACGTCCGCCAGCCAGTCACAGTGACCAGGCAGCTTAGCCGAGGCATGCCATTACACACAGATTGGGCTCCCAATCTGGGCTCCTACTGGGCGGAATGGGATTTAGTTGGTAACGAATGGTTAAGAGACACAGTGGGAACAACTTTGCCCTCAGCGTCTAGTAATGACCAACACTTTGTATTCTAGCGTCACGGTATCTAGCCACGTCAAAAAACATTTCTGAAATGTGGCACTCAGGTCAGTTTCAACAAACGCTTGCACGCTCTGCTATTCTATCCCAATGACCTACTGACATAGATAGGCTTGAAATAATTGGACAATTGAAATAACTGATATCTGGTGATGTTAGCTGACTTCTATCCTCTAAACTGAGTGCTCTAGTAATTGGCTATTAGTTAAGTTGAGGCACAGAGGCAGCCAGTCCACAACCGTTCAGGTCTGTCGCCATCCAGGACTGGAATGTGTGGGAGTCCACATGGATCTAGATTAGGCAGGGTTTCAGTCATTAACCCAGTCCGGTCACAGTGTCTGTTCGCCCCGTCGCCTAAGCTCCTTTGAGGGAGGTCACTGACACACACACACACACACACACACACACACACACACACACACACGAACACACACACACACACCTCCGCTTTCCACTCCTGTCTCCAATAAACAAAGAGCAGGAAAGGCCCATTGGATTAGACTGGGACAGAGACCAAAGAAAAGCTCTGATGACCAAGCTTCCTAAATGAGAATAAAGATGCTTCCTGACAAAAGGATTCTACAGATTGAAGCCCCAGGGAGAGAAAGCTGCAGCTGGGACAGGAATGATAACCTGATAACCCTTTCCCCTGTTCCATCCATCTATCTTGTCTTTCAAGGACAAGGGAACAAACACACATTCCCATACTGACTAAGGCATTTAGCCAAAGCTGTTTGAGGGTCTTGTCTAGCTATCAGAGGCCCATGCAGGTGAATCATTCCAGACTGTAACTTGAGGATCAGCCATAACTGAGGGAAGTCAACCAGCGCTCCGTTTCATATGATCTATCTCAGCCCTGATCCACTGAAACGACTCATTGTGGCCGCTAACGATCGAACAGGCACGTCGCTCACGTTCCCTCGCTGTTGAACAAGTCATGAATCGTCCGTAAATCAGCGGCGACACGCCAGCAGGTAGACTTACAGCCTCACGCAGCTGCTGACAACCTTAAGGGATGGTTTAACAGAGCAGGGGTTGGTTGGGGGTGGGTTGGGACGTCACGCTGATGTGAACGTCCTGTCTCAGGTGTCTAGTTTCCACTTATTCCCTGGGGAAACGCAGCGTTGACAAGCCAATAGGAGAAGCCGATAACGTATAGGTCAGGTTCTATATGTGTTTGTGTGGGGCAGGCTAGACTATTATGGGTGTCACTGAGAGGGTCATAGAGAGGTGAGAGAGAGACAGGGCAAGATAATGAGAAAAGCCATTCAGGAAATAAATAAAACCTCCATTGCAGTAGCAGTCTAGTAGTGGCCTGTGACCAGTGGAGATTGCTGAGGGGAGGACGGCTCATAATAATGGCTGGAATGGAGCAAATGGAATGGTATCAAACACATCAAACACGTGGTTACCATGTGGTTGATACCACTCCATTGACTCCATTCCAGCATTATTATGAACCGTCCTCCCTCAGCAGCCTCCACTGCAGGTGACTGTATAAAGGCCATAGTGAAGTGTTGAGGAGACAGAGAGTTAGAGTGGAGGTATGGTCTCACAGTGGGGTTCAGGGGAGAGTTTACTGATTACTGAGCTATAGACTACATACACACACTTACCAGAGACGGAAGAGGAAGTCAATGAACTAAAGTAAGCAGACCACTATCACATTGGTGTCCATAGGAGAGCCACCCCCTTAAGCAGAAAATGTTAAATGGCCTGAGTGAACTATTTTCATTTATTTTATTTTTTTACCTTTATTTAACCAGGAAAGCCAGTTGAGAACAAGTTCTCATTTACAACTGCGACTTTGGCCAAGATAAAGCAAAGCAGTGCGATAAAAACAACAACACAGAGTTACATATGGGGTAAACAAAACATAAAGTCAAAAATACAACAGAAAATATATATACAGTGTGTGTGAATGTAGTAAGTTATGGAGATAAGGCAATAAATAAATAGGCCATAGTGCAAAAATAGTTACAATTTCGTAATTAACACTGGAATGTGCAAAAGATGATGTGCAAATAGAGATACTGGGGTGCAAATTAGCAAAATATATAACAATATGGGGATGAGGTAGTTGGGTGGGCTAATTTCAGAATGGCTGTGTACAGGTGCAGTGATCGGTAAGCTGCTCTGACAACTGACGCTTAAAGTTAGTGAGGGAGATAAGAGTCTCCAGCTTCAGAGATTTTTGCAGTTCGTTCCAGTCATTGGCAGCAGAGAACTGGAAGGAATGGCGGCCAAAAGAGGTGTTGGTTTTGGGGATGACTAGTGAGATATACCTGCTGGAGCGCAGACTACGGGTGGGTGTTGCTATGGTGACCAGTGAGCTAAGATAAGATGGGGATTTGCCTAGCAGTGATTTATAGATGACCTGGAGCCAGTGGGTTTGGCGACGAATATGTAGTGAGGGCCAGCCAACAAGAGCGTACAGGTCACAGTGGTGGGTAGTATATGGGGCTTTGGTGACAAAACTGATGGCACTGTGATAGACTACATCCAATTTGCTGAGTAGAGTGTTGGAGGCTATTTTGTAAATGACATCGCCGAAGTCAAAGTTCGAAATAGGAAGCCGATTCTAGATCTAACTTTTGATTGGAGATGCTTAATGTGAGTCTGGAAGGAGAGTTTACAGTCTAACCAGACACCTAGGTATTTGTAGTTGTCCACATACTCTAGGTCAGACCCGCCGAGAGTAGTGATTCTAGTTGGGTGGGCGGGTGCAAGCAGCGTTCGGTTGAAGAGCATGCATTTAGTTTTACTAGTGTTTAAGAGCAGTTGGAGGCTACGGAAGGAGTGTTGTATGGCATTGAAGCTCATTTGGAGGTTTGTTAACACAGTGTCCAATGAAGGGCCAGATGTATACAAAATGGTGTCGTCCGCATAGAGGTGGATCCGAGCGTCACCAGCAGCAAGAGCGACATCATTGATATACACAGAGAATAGAGTCGGCCCGAGAATTGAACCCTGTGGCACCCCCATAGAGACGGCCAGAGGTCCTGACAACAGGCCCTCCGATTTGACACATTGAACTCTATCTGAGAAGTAGTTGGTGAACCAGGCGAGGCAGTCACCATCTTTGCTCTAACTAGCCATTATTTAGAGATCATGTGACTGTGTGAGGGGTCATAAGGGGTCATATGCTGAAAGGTTAGGGCCCAGATGCACTAAGACTGGAATTCAGTCAAACTGGCAATTAACATTTTGACCACTACACATGAAAGAGGGTTACAGAGAGTTTGCGGTGCCCTTAACCCCTGAGTGGTTCAATGTTTCAGGACACCGTTATTACGGTTATTACCTGCTGCTCTCTGTGCGCCGTGTCTGTCAAAGGCTTCTTTGTGCTCTTATGAATGAAGCCTTGTATGTAAGGTGCACAGCTTGAGATAAGGAGAAAATGGAGAACCAGACATAAAACATTATGGGTGGGAGAATAACTGTGTGTGTGTGTGTGTGTGTGTGTGTGTGTGTGTGTGTGTGTGTGTGTGTGTGTGTGTGTGTGTGTGTGTGTGTGTGTGTGTGTGTGTGTGTGTGTGTGTGTGTGTGTGTGTGTGTGTGTGTGTGTGTGTGTGTGTGTGTGCGTGCGTGTCTGTGTCCTTTCATTGTTGATTCATTTAAATATTATAATCTATCTGTCTGTGTGTGTGGCTACAGATTTTCCAGGTGGCCTACATCATCATCAAGGCAGCCAACTCCCCTCGTCCTGGTAACTGGGTGCTGGAGCGTTCAATGGACGGTGTTGAATACACACCCTGGCAGTACCACGCCATCAGCGACACAGAATGTCTGACCCGCTACAACATCACCCCCCGCCTCGGACCCCCCACCTACAAACGAGACGACGAGGTCATCTGTACCTCTTATTACTCACGCCTCGTACCCCTGGAGCACGGAGAGGTAGCTATCTATTTATTACTCACGCCTTGTACCTCTGGAGCACGGAGAGGTAGCTATCTATTTATTCGACCTTCACCACAGTGGTCTGAAACTCCCTGCCCGCGAGCCACATCAGGCTCATGAGCTGCTCTTTGGTGGCCTACGGGTCAGGCGTTTGAAACCACTGCTTTACTAGGTCAGTCTTTTATTTACAAGACCAGGGCCCTGTTCAGGAGGAGGCAACATTACAGAACTTTCATTGAGTTGGGCAGAGAATTGGGTGTGCGCTCTGTGTGGTATTCTCTAGCACCTGTAGTCCAGACAGGGGATGACTCAACTGTCCTCCAGACAATGAAAGCCTACTGGGCTACTGTCACTCTAGCCGAGGCAGAGCCGTAATGAACGTCTGTGGTTAGGATACTCTGTGGTTACCCACAGCCCCTGAGGGTGCATCTCAGTAGTTTAACAAGGAAGGGAGACAAGGAGATGAAGCCACTTCAGAGTATTGGAATGCACCCCAAAGCCCAGAGTGAGATCCTCAATCTTCTCTTGCATTGTTTAGCCTTGTGTTATGTCATCTCTGCCAGCTGCCTGTGGTCAGACTGGCAAGTGAGTCTGTGCGTTATATCGGGGAAAAATGGCCGTAATTCACTCAATATCTGTTAGTCTTTGATTGAAAACATGTAAACGTAGAATGATAAACTGCATGCTCATGACTTTGATGTATTTAGCTATATTTGGTCATGATGGTCGTTTGACGTCGTCGTCCATCTTTGTCTGTCCCCTATTCAGATCCACACGTCTTTGATCAATGGGCGGCCCAGCGCTGACCAACTGACCCCAGAGCTGCTGGACTTCACCTCAGCCCGCTACATCCGCCTGCGTCTGCAGAGGATCCGCACGCTCAACGCCGACCTCATGACCCTGAGCTACCGCGACCCCAAGGAGGTGGACCCCATTGTCACCAGACGGGTACGACTGACGTACTTTCACACTAAAGCACTGCCACTAGCACTCACTAACTGTTCTGTTTTCTGTTTTAAGTTAAATGGTGTGTTCAACCAAATTGGTCATTCACCTCAAGATACGTGGTTTGTGCGTTGCCTTGAATAACTTTTTCAAAATGTATATTGCATTTTTATGGTTGTTTTTAACAAAAATTTGATTGAGCTATTTGCAGCTGAATGTCTGAAATATGTTATAACTTCATTGGCTTTGTATTCCGTTTGAGTCGTGTCATTCTAACTTGATTGGCGTTGTATGTTTCCCTCTGCAGTACTACTATTCAATCAAGGACATCTCAGTGGGCGGGATGTGTATCTGTTATGGACACGCCCAGAGCTGTCCCTGGGACCCCGTTGCCAAGGTAACACAAGGCCGTCTTCAGTTTTACCCGTTCAGGCTCGGTGGCTGTCATTCAGCTTTTGTTTCATAATGCAGAGTTTAAAACTGAATTACTGCCATTCACATATTGTGTGTTAAACATTTCACATTTTGACTCAATTAAGCTCCTCTTATCGGGGCCAACATTGGTTCATTGCTGATCTGTTGTAATTGCTGTACACACTTAATATAAAGAGTACTATAATATTTATTTTATGCAATGCATGGTAGTAATACTTCTTTATAAGAAATATATTTGCCAAACTAATTTGTTTTATAAAGTGAACTAAGTAATCCCAGCGCCCTCCCCCCTATAGTCCCTGGAGGAATGGTATGGCCCAACATTTGCTCGGTTGAATTGGTTGCCTTCCTCATTAAGGGGGAATGTCACGTTAACAGGAGGATGAGAAAGTAAGCAGTAAGGCACTCCCACTACAAGAGATGGAAGGAGAGTCTGAGGAGTGGAGTGCCGAAAGAGATTTCTACTTTTCAATTCACATTACATCCTTGCCTCACCTTTCGTTGTGGCTGGCAACGCAAAATTCTTGTTCCGCAGCTAAAATTGACCGTAAATATCACAGTAGCTACTAGCCAGTAATCACAAGCTATTTAACAATCTGAGCAACTTTTCTTCTATAACATATTACACTAGTGAATAATGCAACCAAACCAATAATGCAACAATTCACAGGGTTTATTTTCTCGCCCGTACACATTAAATTAGCTGTCAATACACATAGCTAGCTAACTAACAACATGCTTCATGATCAAGCAACATTAGCATATCAATAATTTACCCCTCCCATACGAATATAAAAGTACTGTAACGTTATCAGACAGTGTCATTCATATTATAATATAGCTAGGCTAAACAGCTAGGTAAGCTAGCTAGCTAAAGAAAATAATTTCTTCATCCTTCTCACATGAACGTGCTGGCTGTTAGCTGAATGCTGACGTTTAGCTGAACCATAGCTACACTGAACAAAATATATACACAACATGTAAAGTGTAAAAGATCCCAGAAATTTAAAAATAAAAGATCCCAGAAAATGTTCAGATGCACAAAAAGCATATTTCTCTCAAATGTTGTGCACACATTTGTTTACTTCCCTGTTAGTGAGCATTTCTACTTTGCCAAGATAATCCATCCACCTGACAGGTGTGGCATATCAAGAAGCTGATTAAACAGGATGATCATTACACAGGTGCACCTTGTGCTGGGGACACACAACACAATGCCAGATGTCTCCAGTTTTGAGGAATGTGCACTTGGCATACTGACTGCAGGAATGTCCACCAGAGCTGTTGCCCATTGTGAGTCCCAGGTATCGGTGACCAATAAATGCATATCTGTATTCCCATTCATGTAAAATCCCTAGATTAGGGCCTAATGAATTATTATAATTTGACCCCCCTTTTTCTCCCCAATTGCAAATCTTGTCTCATCACTGCAACTCCCCAATGGGCCCCCAGCTTAACCCGGAAGCCAGCCACACCAATGTGTCGGAGGAAACACCGTTCAACTGGTGACCAGGGTCAGCCTGCAGGCACCCGGCCTGCCACAAAGAGTCACTAGAGCACGATGAGCCAAGTAAAGCACCCCCGGCCAAACCCTTCCCTAACCCGGACGACGCTGGGCCAATTGTGCCACAGCCCGGGAATGAACCCGGGTCTGTAGTAACGCCTCTAGCACTGCGATGCAGTGCCTTAGACCGCTGTGCCACTCGGGAGGCCCCCTAATTAATTTATTTCCTCTCATGAACTGTAACTGTTGCGTATATATTTTTGTTCAGGAGCGCTTAGGCTTACACTAGCGTATTAAAGTTACGTTAAAACAAACCAGGCTTCATTTTATCAATATCTTGGAAGTCATTAGGCCTATATGAGGTAAAAGAAAATTGCCACTGAAAACATTGAGAATTCCCTGGGGAGTTCCTTCTTGCCTGGACCTGAGATTTAAACACTGCTGAGATTTAAAGCAACGGCGACAATTTCAGAATGTAATAGTCTGTTACTACAATTTCAGGTAAAAACAAAATAAAACAAGTCTCAAAAGTAAGGAAAATGTCTGTACATTTTAGCTTTCAAAAACATTGCTCTGCTATTACAATTATTTTTTACACTGTTTACACTTAGAGGGCGGGGGCAACTGTCAGGTGAGTGTCGAGACATGACAGTAATATGTGGATATTTCTGCGAAGTCCTATAGGCCCTTCAACTTGCCACTTAGAAATGCATTCATGTTTCACACAGACGTAACACACTAACATTGTGACATGACATACAGTTGAAGTCGGAAGTTTACATACACCTTAGCCAAATACATTTAAACTCAGTTTTTCACAATTCCTGACATTTAATCCTAGTAAATATTCCCTGTTTTAGGTCAGTTAGGATCACCACTTTATTTTAAGAATGTGAAATGTCAGAATAATAGTAGAGAGAATTATTTCTTTCAGCTTTTATTTCTTTCATCACATTCCCAGTGGGTCAGAAGTTTACATACACTCACTTAGTATTTGGTAGCATTGCCTTAAATTGTTTAACTTGGGTCAAACGTTTTGGGGAGCCTTCCACAAGCTTCCCACAATAAGTTGGGTGAATTTTGGCCCATTCCTCCTGACATAGCTGGTATAACTGAGTCAGGATTGTAGGCCTCCTTGCTCGCACACGCTTTTTCAGTTCTGCCCACAAATGTTCTATAGGATTGAGGTCAGGGCTTTGTGATGGCCACTCCAATACCTTGACTTTGTTGTCCTTAAGCCATTTTGCCACAACTTTGGAAGTATGCTTGGGGTCATTGTCCATTTGGAAGACCCATTTGCAATCAAGCTTTAACTTCCTGACTGATGTCTTGAGATGTTGCTTCAATATATCCACATAATTTTCCTTCCTCATGATGCCATCTATTTTGTGAAGTGCACCAGTCCCTCCTGCAGCAAAGCACCCCCACAGCATGATGGTGCCACCCCCGTGCTTCACGGTTGGGATGGTGTCCTTCGGCTTGCAAGTGCCCCCTTTTTCTTCAAAACATAACGATGGTCATTATTACCAAACAGTTCTATTTTCGTTTCATCAGACCAGAGGACATTTATCCAAAAAGTACGATATTTGTCCCCATGTGCAGTTGCAAACCGTAGTCTGGCTTTTTTATGGAAGTTTTGGAGCAATGGCTGCTTCCTTGCTGAGCTGATGTCGATTTAGGACTTGTTTAACAGTGGAAATAGATACTTTTGTACCTGTTTCCTCCAGCATCTTCACAAGGTCCTTTGCTGTTGTTCTGGGATTGATTTGCACTTTTCGCACCAAAGTACGTTCATCTCTAGGAGATAGAACGTGTCTCCTTCCTGAGCGGTATGACGGCTGCGTGGTCCCATGGTGTTTAGACTTGCGTACTATTGTTTGTACAGATGAACGTGGTACCTACAGGCGTTTGGAAATTGCTCCCAAGGATGAACCAGACTTGTAGAGGTCAACAATTTTTTTTCTGAGGTCTTGGCTGATTTCTTTTGATTTTCCTATGATGTCAAGCAAAGAGTCACTGAGTTTGAAGGTAGGCCTTGAAATACATCCTGTCACGAACGTCGAAGGAGGAGGACCAAGGCGCAGCGTGATGAGCGAACATACTTTATTATCAATAGTGATAACAAGAACAAAACAACAAACGATAACGACACGTGAAGGCCTTGGCTACAAAATAACCAACACGGAACAAGATCCCACAACTACTGTGGGAAAACAGCCTGTTTAAATGTGGTTCCCAATCAGAGACAACCAGCAACAGCTGACACTCGTTGCCTCTGATTGAGAACCACTCTGGCCAACATAGAAATAGAACAACTAGAATATTACAACATAGAACATAAACACATAGAATTTACACACCCTGGCTCAACATATAGAGTCCCCAGAGCCAGGGTGTGACAGTACCCCCCCCCCAAAGGCGCGGACTGCGACCGCGCCTAAACATAAACCAAACAGGGGAGGGCTGGGTGGGCATTCCTCCTCGGAGGCGGTTCCGGCTCCGGGCTTGACCACCACCCTTCAACCATCCCCCTGTAGCGCCCCTGGTCCGGTCTGGCCCCGCTGGCTGGAGCTGGACTGGACATCGTAGGAGCGGATACCTTAGGCTCCGGTGTGGAGCAGCTGACCGGTACCTGACCAGGCACCGGTGACCCAGGCACGGGTTGTGCCGGACTGACGACGCGCACCCCTGGCTTGGTGCGTGGAGCAGGAACGGGCCGGACCGGGCTGACGATGCGCACCCCTGGCTTGGTGCGTGGAGCAGCAACGGGCCGGACCGGGCTGACGATGCGCACCCCTGGCTTGGTGCGTGGAGCAGGAACGGGCCGTACCGGGCTGACGATGCGCACCCCTGGCTTGGTGCGTGGAGCAGGAACGGGCCGTACCGGGCTGACGACTCGCACCCCTGGCTTGGTGCGAGTGGCAGGAACAGGCCGGGCCGGGCTGGCGACGCGCACCATTGGCTTGGTGCGTGGAGCATGAACGGGCCGTACCGGGCTGACGACTCGCACCCCTGGCTTGGTGCGAGTGGCAGGAACAGGCCGGGCCGGGCTGGCGACGCGCACCATTGGCTTGGTGCGGGAAGCAGGAACGGGCCGGACCGGGCTGACGATGCGCACCCCTGGCTTGGTGCGTGGAGCAGCAACGGGCCGGACTGGGCTGGCGACGCGCACCATTAGCTTGGTGCGGGGAGCAGGAACAGGCCGGGCCGGGCCGGGCTGGCGACGCGCACCGTAGGCTTGGTGCGAGGAGCAGGAACAGGCCGGGCCGGGCTGTGGAGACGGATTGGAGGCCTGGAGTGAAGAGCTGCTACAACCCGTCCTGGCTGAATGCCTACCTTCACACACTCTGTGTGAGGCATCAGCACAGGACGTACAGGGCTGTGTACACGTACTGGCATAACAGCACGTGACACTGGCGCAGGATATCCGGGACCGAGGAGGGGCACTGGAGGCCACGAGCACTGAGCCGGCACACTCCGTCCTGGCTGCATGCCCACCTTCGCACGACACGTGCGGGGTGCTCGCACAGGACGTACCGGACTATGCCAGACCACTCGTGGCACAGTACGCAGCTCCGCATACCCCGGAACCTGCCCAGTCTCATGCTGCCATGCCTGAGTACAGGGAGTTGGCTCTGCTCTACATCCAGGCTCCGCCAACCTGCCTTCCGGCCCCCCAAACCCGGTGGCCTCCTCTCCTAATCTCCCAATTCGCCCTGTGGCAGCCTCCTGCTGCCCCATCGCCCATGCCGTGTGCCCCCCCCCTAAAAATTTATTGGGGGTGCCTCTCGCCTGTCCGACCACGGCCCGGTTGGCGCCGCTTCTCCTCTCCTGCCTGGGTCTCCCCCTTCATAGCCTTCCGGTACCGGACGGCCTCCTCCTCCGTAATCTGCCCCCAACCGAGGAGGACATCCACTAGAGTTACCTCCTGCGTGTGTTCCTGGACACGCTGCTTGGTCCTGGTGTGGTGGGATCTTCTGTCACGAACGTCGAAGGAGGAGGACCAAGGCGCAGCGTGATGAGCGAACATACTTTATTATCAATAGTGATAACAAGAACAAAACAACAAATGATAACGACACGTGAAGTCCTTGGCTACAAAATAACCAGCACGGAACAAGATCCCACAACTACTGTGGGAAAACAGCCTGTTTAAATGTGGTTCCCAATCAGAGACAACCAGCAACAGCTGACACTCGTTGCCTCTGATTGAGAACCACTCTGGCCAACATAGAAATAGAGCAACTAGAATATTACAACATAGAACATAAACACATAGAATTTACACACCCTGGCTCAACATATAGAGTCCCCAGAGCCAGGGTGTGACACATCCACAGGAACTCCTCCAATTGACTCAAATGATGTCAATTAGCCTATCAGAAGCTTCTAAAGCCATGACATCATTTTCTGGAATTTTCCAAGCTGTTTACACACAAAATCTTTTCATGTCACACGATTTTTGAAACCTCTCACTCAAAGTGCAAAACTACACACCAAATCTCCAAAACCATAAGCTATTTCTCAGCCTTTGACTCAGTTGTCAATTGCATAAAACACTTTTTTCAAAACACTACACACAATTCTCTACCTAAAACACAAAAATCTAACAGGAAGTGACTTGCTTTCCTTTTCCAAACACAACCATTCAAAATGCTACACTTATTCACCAGGTCACACACACACTCTTCACATGTGCAAACACTAATTGCTTAACTGATCACTAACCAATCACTGCTTTACTGTAGTATAGGCCTATAAATAGGTCAAAGGTCAGATTACCTGTTTTGAACAATGGATGCCAACAATGGACAGAGAGCAAGAGGAGTAGGAGGGAGAGGCAGGGGACAACAACGAGGACAAATTCAAAGACGAAGTGTTGGAAGAGGAGGAGGAGGAGGAAGAGGAAAATGAAGAGGAAGAGTAAGAGGAAGAAGAGGACGAGGGCAAATAAGAGAAGGAAGGAGATTTATTTATGTGGATGAGGTTGGCTTCAACCTCACCAAAACCAGGCGCCGCTGAAGAAATGTAAAAGGACAGAGGGCAATTACCAATGTCCCTGGACAGCGTGGGGGTAATATAACTATGTGTGCTGCCATCACTCAAAACGGGGTCCTCCATCACAATGCCACACTGGGTCCGTACAAGACCGGCCATAGGCTCACTTTTCTGGATGCAATTTACACAATGCTTGTCCCTGATCCAGATCAGGAGCCTGCTAGATTTGTGGTTATATGGGACACTGTTAGTTTTCACCGGGCTGTTCTGGTCCAAAACTGGTTTGCCACCCATCCACAATTTGTAGTTTTGTACCTACCCTCATATTCACCTTTCTAAATCCCATAGAGGAATTATTCTCAGCCTGGCGCTGGAAAGTGTATGATTGCCAACCCTATGCCCGCATGCCGCTTCTCCAGGCAATGGAGGACGCATGTGGGGACATAGAGGTTGCCTCTGTCCAAGGTTGGATACGCCATGCTAGGAGATACTTCCCTCGATGTTTGGCAAGAGAAAACGTATCTTGTGATGTGGACGAAGTATTGTGGCCAGACCCAGCCCGGAGAAGAAATGAAGCGTAGCTTAGCACTGGTGACTGCCCCCCCTACCATTTCCTGGACTGCACCCCCGGGACCCCCCACACACAATTGTGTTCTTTACTGTATTCTAAAGAATATACTTTTGGTTTACATATGTTTATGGTTTTGTTGTATGCTACTGTATACAACAGTAATGTTTGGCCTAATAAATATTTTCTGTTTCTACATTGCATTGGTGTTTACAGTGTACTTGTTACCCCTCTCAGCAGATTACTTTCACTGTAGAACATTGTATTGAAATGTATATATAAGCCTATGAAAGACCAAAGAGCTTTAGATTTAGAACAACAGTGTTTACATGGTATATCCAAAAATTTACTATTATGAAAGAAGTGTTTGCCATTTGATGCAAATGCTTCATTCTGACATGTGTTTATGGCATTTTGAATGCAGTGTTACATTTTGAAGGAGATGTGAGGCATTTTGCATTTTGTGTGTGCAGTTTTGGGAATTGTGTGTAGAGTTTTGAAAAAAGGAGACATAGTTTTGAAAACGTGTGTAAGCAGTTGGAAAAAACTGTAAAAGCACAGTCAACTTAGTGTATGTAAACCTCTGACCCACTGGAATTGTGATACAGTGAATTATAAGTGAAATAATCTGTCTGTAAACAATTGTTGGAAAAATTACTTGTGTCATGCACAAAGTAGATGTCCTAACCGACTTGCCAAAACTATAGTTTGTTAACAAGACATTTGTGGAGTGGTTGAAAAACGAGTTTTTAATGACTCCGATTTGTACTGAATTGTGTATTGTGCTGTTGGTGGTTGTGTTCTGTGTGTGCAAAGAATGTGGTAACGACTTGCCTTGTTTGTCAAGATGTGTGTGTGTGAACGATGTTATGGTCAACAGTGTGTGAATGATGCGTATACCACGTGTGTCTCTTGGGACTGTGTGTGTGCATGGGTCTTTGTTTTGGGTGTGTGTGTGTGTGTGTGTGTTGTGTTGTTGTTTGGGTGTGTGTGTGTGTGTTGTTGTTGTGTGTTGTGTGTTTGGTGTGTGTGGTGTGTGTGTGTGTTGTGGTTGTGTGTGGTGTGTTTGTGTGTGTTGGTTGTGTGTGTGTGTGTGTGTGGTGTTGTATTTGTTTTGGTGTGTGTGTTTGTGGTTGTGTGTGGTTGTGTGTGTGTTGTGGTGGGTTGTTGGTGTTGTTTGTGTGTGTGGGTGTGTTTTGTGTGTGGTGTGTGTGTTGGTGTGTTGTGTTTGTTTGGGTGTTGTTTGTAGTGTGTGTTGGTGTGTGGTGTGTGGGTTGGTGTTTGTTCTTGTGGTGTGTGTGTTGTGTGGTGGTGTGTGTGTTTTTTGGGTTGTGTGTGTGTGTGTGTTGGTTGTGTGTGTGTTTGTGTGTGTTGGTTTGTGGGTGTTGGATGTGTTTGTTGTTTGTGTGTGTTTGGGTGTGTGTTCGTGTGTTGTTTGTGTGTGTGTGTTTGTTGTTGTGGGTGTGTGTGTGTGTGGGTTGTGTGTTGTGTGGTGTGTGTGTGTGTGTGTGGGTGTTGTGTGGGTGGTGTGTGTGTGTGGTGTGTGTGTGTGTGTGGGTGTGTTGTGTGTTGGTGTGTGTGTGTGGTGTGTGTGTGTGTGTGTTGTGTGTGTGTGTGTGTGTGTGGGGTGGTGGTTTGTGTGTGTGTGTTGTGTGTGTGTGGGTGTGTTGTGTGTGTGTGGGGTGTGTGTGTGTGTTGTGGTGTGTGTGTGTGTGTGTGTGGGTGTGTGTGGTGTGGGTGTTGGGTGTGTGTGTGTGTGTGTGTGTGTGTGTGTGTGTGTGTGTGTGTGTGTGTGTGTGTGTGTGTGGGTGTGTGTGTGTGTGTGTGGGTGGGTGTGTGTGTGTGTGTGGGTGTGTGTATCACTCCCAGTTGACAATAGGACTAGAGCAGAAGCACTGAATCAGTCACTTATTGTGGCTTCCTCTTCACCCATCCCTCTCTCTCTTTTGTTCTCTCAGAAGTTGCAGTGTGTGTGTGAGCACAATACCTGTGGGGAGAGCTGTAATGAGTGTTGCCCCGGCTACCACCAGGAACCGTGGCAACCGGGAACCCTCTCCGATGGCAACACATGCGAGAGTAAGCGGGACTTGGTCTTTATGGGCCTAAGTAAAATATCATACTGTTAATGTTTGCCAGTTGTCACTTAGTAAATAAAGGCATGGGAATTACATTCTGGATTTAGACTTGATTTAAAGTGTGCCAGATCAGATAAAATGACTTCTTCACGCTTTCAATTATATCCACTTGCATGTCTCACTCATTCATTGACATGAAATAGCTTTTTGTTTCCTATCCCTATGGTGATTTTAACTCATTTATATAATGTTTTATATCAATAGCTATTAAGCAGATTTAGCCAAGGGGTTTTCCAAGCTTTTTATGAAAATGTGGTATTTTAATTAAAACTGAACAGTATGCATATATTCTCAATAATAAACTACCCTTCAACTACTCTCCCATTGAGATGCATTAAAAGTTATCTGACCTGTGAATTATCCTCGTCCACTAGAATGTAACTGCCACGACAAGGCCAACGACTGCTACTTCAACCAGACGGTGGCCAACCGCAAGATGAGCATGAACTTGCATGGTGACTTCCATGGCGGGGGCGTTTGCATCAGCTGTACCAAGAACACGGCCGGTGTCAACTGTGAGACCTGCGCAGATGGCTTCTACAGGCCCCACAAGGTACTGTCCCCTCATTGATCCTGTTCATCGATGCCCACTTTGTGTCCCTATGGTCCGCCGTAAGACATTTTGGCAGGTCACATCAAAATGGCTAGCGGACCGGATTTGGCTCGCGGTCCGCCAGTTGAAGACCCCTGCCGTAAACCAATGCCCTCTTTCTGTCCCTAGGGTCCCCGTAATCCAATCCATCAATATGGTCCCCGTTTCCTGAGGACCCCCGTGGTCTTCTTTTGTGTCTCCGCTTAGTGGCATTTCTATGTACTGTTTTGTACATGCCCATTGTCTTGTGATTGGCCAATAAAATCATTGTGTATGCGCCTGATTACAGACACTACCTAGTCTGGGTCATGTGGCTCAGTGAAAGAATACAATTACTGTAGAACCCAACTATATTGGTGTGATGGCCTTTGCTTGGATGGATGAATGGCGATTTATTAAACTTGTAATTGCAGTGTGTACCTTGTGTGGAATGTGAATGGTCAATTGTGTATTTGTTTCGTCCTGTGTGCGTGCCTGCGTGAGTGTAGGTGTCGCCGTACAATGAGAACCCGTGTGTGGAGTGCAGCTGTGACATGAGGGGGTCTTTGACTCCTGCTTGCATCAGAGATGACAACCACGCCAAGCCTGAGAAAGGTACAAAGATCCTATTCATTCAGATATTTCTTAATTTAGGTATTACTGCGCTGTTGGAGTTAGGAACATAAGCATTTCGCAGCACCGGCAATAACTATAGGCTATACAGAGGGTAGTGCGTACGGCCCAGTACATCACTGGGGCCAAGCTTCCTGCCATCCAGGACCTCTATACCAGGCGGTGTCAGAGGAAGGCCCTCAAAATTGTCAAAGACTCCAGCTACCCTAGTCATAGACTGTTCTCTCTGCTACCGCACGGCAAGCGGTACCGGAGCGCCAAGTCTAGGTCCAAAAGGCTTCTCAACAGCTTCTACCCCCAAGCCATAAGACTCCTGAACAGCTAATCATGGCTATCCGGACCACTTGCACTGCCCCCCCACCCCCACCCCATCTTTTTACGCTGCTGCTACTCTGTTAATTATTTATGCATAGTCACTTTAACTCTACCCACATGTACATATTACCTCAACTACCTCAACTAGCCGGTGCCCCCGCACATTGACTCTGCACCGGTACCCCCCTGTATATAGCCTCCCTACTGTTATTTTATTTTACTTCTGCTCTTTTTTTCTCAACACTTTTTTGTTGTTGTTGTTTTATTTTACTTTTTTATTAAGAAATAAATGCATTGTTGGTTAAGGGCTGTAAGTAAGCATTTCACGGTAATGTCTACACCTGTTGTATTCGGCACAAATAACATTTGATTTGATTTGATTTTGAACATCTGCATAATAATGTTTTGAAACCCCCAATAATGTTTTTTTTTCAGCTTGTGTTAAAAACATACCTGCATAGGTCAGTATAGCTCTGAATATCTACCAAACTCATTATAGGATATGGGAGATAAGGACACTTTTATTTTGGGGGGTATTCAGAAGACTTGGCCCACTACATGTACAGTAATTCAGAGTATATTATATTTTGCCTACAGTAACCTATCACAAATTCTCTTATCTATCTTTTGGACATTATAGCAAAGCAATACATACTCAAATTACACTATAGAGATATGTAGCACATATCCTGTAAGAGCCTATACTATTCTAGGCTATACTATACTAATATGATGCCATTTAGCAGACGCTTTTATCCAAAGCGACTTACAGTCATGCGTGCATACATTTTTATGTATGGGTGGTCCCGGGGATTGAACCCACTACCTTGGCATTACAAGCGCCATGCTCTACCAGCTGAGGTACAGAGGACCACACACTATAGGCTATACATTTTAGTCATTTAGCAGACGCTCTTATCCAGAGCGACTTACATGAGCAATTAGGGTTAAGTGCCTTGCTTAAGGGCACATCAACAGAATTTTCACCTATTCAGCTCGGGGATTAGAACCAGCGACCTTTCGGTTACTGGCACAACACTCTTACCCACTAAGCTACCTGCCGCCCTATACTATTCTATAGATTATACTATACTATAGGCTATACATTTACATTTTAGTCATTCAGCAGATGCTCTTATCCAGAGCGACTTACAGTTAGTGAGTACATTTTTCATACTGGCCCCCCCGTGGGAATCTAACCCACAACCCTGGCATTGCAAACACCATGCTCTACCAACTGGAGGCCTGTAGCTCAGTTTGTATATTCTATAGGCTATACTATTCTATATACTATACTATACTATACTATAGGCTATACTATACTATAGACTATACTATTCTATAGACTATACTATACTATACTATTCTATAGGCAATACTATACTATAGGCTATACTATACTATACTATACTATACTATTCTATAGACTATACTATACTATTCTATAGACTATACTATACTATTCTATAGACAATACTATACTATAGGCTATACTATACTATACTATACTATAGACTATACTATAGACTATACTATTCTATAGACTATACTATTCTATAGACTATACTATACTATACTATATACTATACTATAGACTATACTATTCTATAGACTATACTATACTATTCTATAGACTATACTATATCTATTCTATAGCTACTAATACTATCTATAGGACTATACTATACTATACTATACTATAGCCTCTATACTATACATATACTATACTACTATGACTATACTATTCTATAGACTATACTATACTATACTATTCTATAGACTATACTATACTATTCTATAGGCAATACTATACTATAGGCTATACTATTCTATAGGCTATACTATACTATACTATACTATAGGCTATACTATACTATAGACTATACTATTCTTATAGGACTATACTATACTATACTATATCTATAGCCTACATAACTATATACTATAGGCATACTATACTATAGCTATACTATACTATATACTACATACTATACATATACTATCTTCTATAGATACTGTAACTATATCTATACTATTCTATAGGCAATATACTAATACTATACTATACATACTATTTCTATAGACTATACTATACTATAGCTATACTATACTATACTATAGCTATTATTACTATTAGGATATACTAGTCTATAGCTATTACTATACTCTTATATAGCTAACTATACTATTTAGACTATACTAGAATATACTATACTATAGGCTATACTATTCTAACAGGACCTATTCTATACTATACTATTTTAATAACCATACTATAATATTAATATACTATTAACTATAGACTATCCTATTCTATAGTTACTAATACTAAAACCTAATTACTATTCTATAGGCAATTACTATACTATACTATACTATAGGCTCTACTATTATACAGAACTATTCTATACTATACTATACTACTACTATACTATACGTATACTATAACTATAGACTTACTATTCTATAGACTTATCTATACTATACTATTACTATTCTATAGGCAATTACTATACTATAGGCTATACTATTCTATAGACTAGACTAGACTATACTATACTATACTATACTATAGCTATACTATACTATAGACTATACTATTCTGTTGTCTTTGTAATTTACGTGCCGTCTGACTGTGCGTTGCAGGTCGAACTCAGGCCAGTGTCTGTGTAAGGAGGGCTTTGCGGGCGAGCTCTGTGACCGCTGTGCCTTTGGCTACAGGGACTTCCCCCTGTGTTCACGCTGTGAGTGCAGTCTGGAGGGCAGCCTCAACATCGACCCATGCTCAGAGTGCATCTGCAAGGTAACACTGGGGTTTAACTGTGGGGAACACGGCACTATTACGGTTTGACTTAAAAATGTATGCACTCACTAACTGTAAGTCGCTCTGGATAAGAGCATCTGCTAAATGTCTAAAATGTAAATGTAACTGTGCTGCTAAAGTGGTGGATTTGGGGTGTGGGGTTGTGTGTGTGTTTAGGGGTCGAGGTGGGGTTGTGTGTGGGGGTCAGGGGTGGGGTTGTGTGTGTGTTTAGGGGTCGAGGTGGGGTTGTGTGTGGGGGTCAGGGGTGGGGTTGTGTGTGTGTTTAGGGGTCCAGGGGTGGGGTTGTGTGTTTAGGGGTCGAGGTGGGGTTGTGTGTGGGGGTCAGGGTTGGGGTTGTGTGTTTAGGGTCGAGGTGGGGTTTGTGGGTGGTGGGGGTGGTGTGGTAGGGGAGGGGGTCGGGAGGGGTTGTGGGTTGGTTTAGGGGGTGAGTGGTGTTGTGTGTGGTTAGGGGTCAGGGGGGGTGTGTGGGTGTTAGGGTGAGGTGGGTTTGTGGGGTCAGGGGGGTGTGTGTGTTTGGGGGGGGGTGTGTGTTTGTGTGTGGGGTTGAGGTGGGGGGTTGTGGTGTGTGGTGTTTGTCGGGGGGGTGTGTTGTGTGGTGTGTAGGGGAGGGGTGTGTGTGTAACGGTGATGATTAACCATATGATGTTCCTACAAAACCAAACACCCTAACTTCCACTGTGTCTCTGTTTCAGGAGAACGTGATGGGGGCCAACTGTGACCTGTGTAAGCAGGGTTTCTTCAACCTGGAGGTCAGTGATCCAGAGGGCTGCACAGAGTGTTTCTGCTTCGGTGTGTCTGACGTGTGTGAGAGTTCACCCTGGTCTTGGTCTCAGGTAACACACCGTAACACCCACATCCAAATACACCCTCATTGTGAATATGTTCCTTTAGAATATCCAAACTATGCAGCAAGCAACTCATGGTTCAGCATAGTTTTGTTGGGAGCCTTTAAACTATTTCTTACTGTAGAACTCATTAACATATAACCAGTAAATTGGATCGGCCTGTGATGTTCTCATGACGAGTTCATAGAACGAAGTTCTTGTCACGATCGTCGAAGGAAGAGGACCAAGGTGCAGCGTGAAATGCGAACATACTTTATTATCAATGGTGATAACACGAACAAAACAATAAACGATAACGTGACGTCCTAGGTCTAAACACAACCAACACGGAACAAGATCCCACAACTACTGTGGGAAAACAGCCTGTCTAAATGTGGTTCCCAATCAGAGACAACCAGCAACAGCTGACACTCGTTGCCTCTGATTGAGAACCACTCTGGCCAACATAGAAATAGAACAACTAGAAACTACAACACAGAATACAAACACATAGAATCTACACACCCTGGCTCAACATAATGAGTCCCCAGAGCCAGGGTGTGACAGTTCTCTCCTTGCCCACAGACTGTGCACTCCAATGGATGGCTCCTTCCCACCAAAAGCTTATCTGTCTACACGGCACCCCTCACTGATGAAGACAACAACCTCTTCGTCCCAAACATCACCATGATCCAATCATACCGTTTTCTTTCTACATGGGCCGCCCCGGAGTCCTTCCTGGGGAAAAGGGTACGTTTCGTTAGCATATACTGTACCTATGCAGTCCCTTATTCCTTTTGAGCTCAAAGCTCCAGTGGCATTAGCATTAGCTCTCTCATTTTGCTGTTCAAATAGCTAATGACCTGCATGTATTAGCTTCAAACAAATTGATTTTACAATCCTCTCTCCCTAGGGATCTCTCGCTCTCATTCTCTCTCTCTGTCTCTCTCTTTCGCTCTCTCTCTGTCTCTCTATCTCTCTGTCTCTCTATCTCTCTGTCTCTCTATCTCTCTGTCTGTCTCTCTCTCTCTCTCTCTCTCGCTTCTCTCTCGCTCTCTCTCTCTCTCTCTCTCTCTCTCTCTCGTGCTCCTCCTCGCTCTCTCTCTCTCTCTCTCTCCACCCCCCCCTCTCTCTCTCAATTAAATTAAATTAAATTAAATTTCAATTCAATTCAATTCAATTGTGCAATTTCAATTTAAGGGCTTTATTGGCATGGGAAACGTATGTTAACATTGCCAAAGCAAGTGAGTAGATAGTAAACAAAAGTGAAATAAAACAATAAATATTAACAGTAAACATTACACTCAGAAGTTCCAAAAGAATAAAGACATTTCAAATGTCATATTATGTATATATACAGTGTTGTAACGCTCTCTCTCTCTATCTCTCTCGCTACTGTATTTCTCTCTCTCTCATTCATCATTCATTCATTCTCTCTCTCTCTCTCTCTCTCTCTCTCTCTCTCTCTCTCTCTCTGTCTCTCTCTGTCTCTCTCTCTCTCTCTCTCTATCTCTCTGTCTCTGTCTCTCTCTCTGTCTCTCTCTCTCTCTCTCTCTCTCTCTCTCTCTCTCTCTCTCTGTCTCTCTCTCTCTCTGTCTCTCTCTCTCTCTCTCTCTCTCTCTCTCTCTCTGTCTCTCTCTCTCTCTCTGTCTCTCTCTCTCTCTGTCTCTCTGTCTCTCTCTCTCTCTGTCTGTCTGTCTCTCTCTCTCTCTGTGTCTGTCTCTCTCTCTCTCTCTCTCTCTCTCTCTCTCTCTCTCTCTCCCTGAAGCGATTAGATTTCCACCCATCCTCTCCTATCCTCCCACTGTGTGTTAATACAGGGTGCCATGTAATTATAGTCAAGCAGGGCCAGGTCCTTTATTAATCCCTGAGTTAATGATGTTCCACTCATTAGAACCCTGTCTAATATGTTTTCTACCCATTAGTCCCTCAGGTGATTAGAGTTAATTAATTAATTAATTAGAATGAGTCATTATCTATGGCATGTCCTTAATATCGGGTGGGAGGGAGAGATAGAGATAGAAGCAGCATTTATCCTGAAGGGCCTGATTTCATGTCAGTATTTAGTGTGACGAATTTCCACTATTTCATATTTGCTGTAGGTACTGTTTTCTTGAATGTAACACTCTCTCCCTTTTTCCAATTTTCCCTGTTCCCTTTTCTCATTGCTATGTGAAGCTGACATCGTACGGAGGGTTTTTGAACTACAGTGTGGCGTATGATGTTTCAGTGGACAACGTGGACAAGTCTCTGCCGTCACAGTTCGAATTGATTATCGAGGTAAGCTACTATTGGGCTAACAAAATATTGGGCTAACAGATATTGGGCTAACAGGTAGAATAGCGTTTAGAGAGGCTGCTGGTTTCAAATCCTAGATGCCATTGCCTGCCATTCTGCCCTTGAGCAAAGCACTTAACCCCCCATAACAACAGCTCCCCGGGTGCCCAGTGTGGCAGCCCCGCCGCACCTCTCCAAAAAACCTGTATATGTATGTGTATGTCCTGTATGTGTGTCTTTCGGAGGGGTTGGGTTAAAAGTGGAAGTCAATTTTCGGTTGGAGCTTGTGTGCAATTGACCAATAAAGCAATTTGATCTTATTGTTTTCAACCTGGCTATGATATTAACAATATGTAAGTGCAATGGAAAGCAAGACTAACTAAAAACCCTTCCCACTGGGCACAGACGTCAGTTCAACTTCTATTTTTTATTTACATTTGGTTGAGTTGTCAACTAACGTGAATTCAACGTGAAATCCCAAAATAAATTCACCATGACATTGGATTTAGGTTCAAAGTTGAGTGAAAAAAAAGAATATATTCCCGTATGTTGATGACTTCTTGCAAATCCAATCAGTTTTCCATCTTGATTCAATGTCATCACATTTTTGTTGTTATTGTTGAAATGACGTGGAAACAATGTTGATTCAAACAGTTTTTGCCCAGTTGGTAGTTTAAACGAAAAACCTCTATCCCCTAGCTCTTCAGTGATTGCAGACCTGAAGGAGTCATATAGATGATTGCAGAATCACCCCGGCCTAAATCTAAAACTATTCTAAAGGGTTGATTATACCAACCCCTGAACCTACATCAGGTCGTCATTGTAAATCAAAATGTGTTGCTAACGGCCTTGTTTGGATGTGTCCCCAGGGGAACGGGAGGACCCTGCGTCAGACGCCCCCCAGGCAGCTCTTCCTGACGCCCCTGCGTGAGCAGCATGTTGCTGTGGAGCTCTTGCCACAGGGCTTCGTAGACCTGCACACGGGTCAGAGGGTGGACAGGGTCGAGCTGATGACCGCACTGGCCGACGTGGCTGGACTGAGGATCAGAGGTCACCTCAATGCCAGCGCAGAAGGGGCACTCAGGTTGAGCAATGTATCTCTGGACATGGTAGACATCAATTCTGCTAACCCAGTCAAGGCCCGGGACGTGGAGCAGTGTGAGTGCCCCTGGGGCTACTCGGGCATATCCTGTGAGGTAAACACCCAGGTCATGTGACGGTGGCCAGGTTCATACTGTTTACTACTGTAGGTGTCTAGTCAAGTTTGTTAATGATTTGAGCTGCATCCGTTGTAAAAGCAAAGTTCATTATGCTTTTCAGTTGGCTTTGTTAGTTAGAGTTAGAAGAAGAGCATGGTGTTGGCAACAATGTTGTGGGTTCAATTCCAACAAAACCCACATATTTTGAATACGTGTTAACTATGTGTCACTTTAGGTGAACACAACTGCTAAATGATTATGTTATAGTTCTCTTTGTGTTTGTAGTACTGTATGTCTGGATTCAGAGGAGGCTGGTGGGAGGAGCTATAGGAGGACGGGCTCATTGTAATGGCTGGAATAGAATGAACAAAACGGTATCAAACACATCAAACATACTTTGGGTAAAAGCGACCGCTTAATGATGATGTTATTGTTCTCTGTGTGTTTGTAGTACTGTATGTCTGGGTTCTATCGTGTCGGGGGCATCCTGTTCGGAGGCAACTGTCTCCAGTGTGAGTGTAACGACCATGCTAAGGAATGTGACATCAACGGAGTGTGTCTGGTGAGTCCTCTATCTGCCCCATGTCATGTTTAGACAGTGGGGGGTCAGAGAAGTAGATATTTGACCCATAGATATACAATATACTGTATGTAGTCATTCCATACATATGTCAATGAAGTCTGTCTGGCTAGTCACTACTATATGCAGTGGGGGGCCATAGACATAGATATATGACACTTAGATATCCCATACATGTACAGCTATGGCTTGTTTGTTAGCTCGACGCGTGATCTCAACTACTTCCACCACCATCTGTGTAAAATAAGGACGTGGTCTCATCTAGCTGTTTATCTGATCCTAACATCTCCACTAGATAACCTCTGAACTGGTCAGAGCTTCACTTAGATTTGAGATTTTAGTCATTTAGCAGATGCTCTTATCCAGAGCGACTTACAGTTAGTGAGTGCATGCATTTTTTCTCTCCGTACTTCACAGTTAGAGGCTACACCAATGAGCAAACCCCCAGTAGGAAGCTTCCTGGCTTGAGCTGTGTTTGTTGACAGCCATAATGATGAATCACTCTTCTATGCTGTGTCTGAAATGGCATCCTATTCCCTATGTAGTGCACTACTTTTGGCTAGAGCCTCCATCCTATTCCCTATGTAGTGCACTACTTTTGGCTAGAGCCTCCATCCTATTCCCTATGTTGTGCACTACTTTATAGGGAATAGGGTGCCATCTTGGGCTCTGTTTCAATTGAATTCCTCGCTTTATTGGATGACAAGTTAATGCTGTGTTAGGCGTTTAAATGGCGTGCGGCAAAGCAGTGATTATCCTTTGGCTACTGCCAGGCATCCGTTCGGTCAATGTACTATGTAAATCAAAAGACATGCTAAAGCTAGTAGCTACAACATTCAATTGCATTAGTGAAAATGCTTCACTTTGCGGTTAGGTTTAGCAGCTTGGTGCAGTTAAAGGGATAGTTCACTTTTTAGGAGCTTTATTTTCGACTTACCTAGGGTGTTCATCCAAACAGTTTTTAAAAAATGTGAAATAATCTAAAACTTCAAAAAGTTAACTATCCCTTTAACATGGCAGTGGATGTTGAGACATCCCAATAAATGTTGGTTGCTATGGTGTGTCAATGGCAGCTTAAGGGCATGTGTGTCATGTCAGAAATACGTTTTATCCGGGCACTGTCGCCTTAAATCTTTCCCCAGGACTGTACTCACAATACCACTGGGCCCCACTGTGACCAATGCCTCCACGGTTACTATGGCGACCCCACTGAGGGCACCCCGGAGGACTGCAGGAGATGCGCTTGCCCGCTGACAGTGGCGACGAACAAGTGAGTGACTGTGCCAACTCTGTGCCAACATGCCATTAATTTAGATTCTAGAACCCCTCTCCATGGCGATAGATGGGTCAAATATGTGTGGACGCTGGGTGGTGGAGAGTATGGCCGATATTGGTTATTGTAGGTTTCATGTCAACAACAGAATGTTTCAACTGTACCAGGTACTTTATTGCTTTATTTAATGACGGGTAGGTTAGCTGTTGTGTGAATTGATTCCAAGCATAAACTTAGTGCTGGTGTTTCTCAATTTTAGGGAGTGGAAGGGGTGAGATCTCCACTCATACAATATGAAATGCTTAAAGTTTGAGAAAAGCCCTATGCTCTAGCTCTTACTAGTTAATGTGATGTCATCATTCACACTCCTGGTCTCTTCTTCAGTTTCAGCCCCACCTGTGTCCTGGAGGGCCCTGGGCAGGTGACATGTGACCAGTGCCAGCATGGTTACACTGGGACTAAGTGTGAGAGGTATGGAGAGTAAATGTTCTTAAACCTTATCCTGTCAGTTTGACCTTCTCTTCACTTCTTAAACCTGTACTATATAATCAGATACACAGAGCATTCGGAAAGTATTCATACCCCTTGACTTTTTCCACATTTGGATATGTTACCTTAGCATTATTCTAAAATGGTTTAAATTGTATTTTCTTCTTCTCACCAATATACACACAACACCCCATAATGACAAAGCAAAAACTGGGATGGGGAGCGTCGCTGCACAGTCTGGGCTTTGGCTGGGCCACTCAAGGACATTCAGAGACTTGTCTGAAGCCACTCCTGCATTGTCTTGGCTGTGTGCTTAGGGTATTTGTCCGATTGGAAGGTGAACCTTCACCCCAGTCTGAGGTCCTGAGCGCTCTGGAGCAGGTTTTCATCAAGGATCTCTCTGTACTTTGCTCCATTCATCTTTCCCTCGATCCTGACTAGTCTCCCAGTCCCTGCCGCTGAAAAACATCCCCACAGCATGATGCTGCCACCACCATGCTTCACCGTAGGGATGGTGCCAGGTTTCCTCCAGATGTGACGCTTGGCATTCAGGCGAAAGAGTTCAATCTTTGATTCATCAAACCAGAGAATCTTGTTTCTCATGGTCTGAGAGTCCTTTAGGTGCCTTTTGGCAAACTCCAAGCGGGCTGTCATGTGCCTTTTACTGAGGAGTGCCTTCTGTCTGGCCACTCTACAATAAAGGCCTGATTGGTGGAGTGCTGCAGAGATGGTTGTCATTCTGGAAGGTTCTCCCATCTCCACAGATGAAGTCTGGAGCTCTGTCAGAGTGACCATCGGGTTCTTGGTTACCTCCCTGACCAAGGTCCTTCTCCCCCGAAACATCTTAAGGATGATCAATGGAAACAGGATGCACCTGAGCTCAATTTCGAGTCTCATAACAAAGGGTCTGAAAACTTATGTAAATAAGGTAGTTCAGTTTTTTTAATTTTTTATACATTTGCAACAATTTCTAAAAACGTGTTTACGCTTTGTCATTGTGGGGTATAGTGTGTAGATAAAAAATGTATTTAATCCATTTTAGAATAAGGCTGTAACGTAACAAAATGTGGAAAAAGTCATGGGGTCTGAATACTTTCCGAATGCACTGTATTTCACTTGTACATCTAAACACATAGTAAAATACTTATAACAGTTTACATGGGAAAATTATAAGTGAAACTCAGTTACAATACTTTAATACTAGTCTCAACCATTTAACTAATAGTTTATTGTATTATTTGTTAATCTTCGAACTTTGACTTCTACAGGTGTGCTAACGGTTACCACGGTGACCCGAAGGTGGCGGGCCAGGAGTGTGTGGTGTGTGAGTGTAACGGTAACGTGGACCCCTGGGAGCCGGGCCACTGTGACCCCAGCAGCGGTGTGTGTCTGAAGTGTCACAGCCACACCAGCGGAGACCAGTGTGAGAGGTGCGAAGACGGCTACTACGGTGACGCCATCACTGCCAAGAACTGCCAGGGTAAGAGAGCTGTGATGATGACGAGGAAGATGATGAAGATGAGGATTCTTCCACAGATCCCCACACAGTTACATATACACGACAAGCAACATCCCTCACCACCATGTACTGAACATGCTAGTTAACACTAAACTTGCTCATCCATCTAACTGCAGTCGATGATACGTACCGAACTACAACACAGAATGACATAGTGAGAATAGACATGAAATAGACACTTTTGCTCATTTCTGAGTAGCAGTTAGCAAGTCAGGAATGGTGAGTGAAGAACGTGGCCAACCGACCACAGATGAAATCTCAACTTTGACCTATACCTGCTCCCCCCCCCCCCCCCCCAACATCACGTCCTTAGACCTAATCCTAACAATAATGTATGTTATGGGTCAGGACCCATATTCACAAAGCGTCTCAGCGTAGCAGTGCTGATCTGGGATCAGGTTCCACCTTATCCATGTAATCTCATTCATTATGATCTATAAGGTAAGACTGATCCTAGATCAGCACTCCTTTTCTGAGACGCATTGTGAATACAGACCCAGACATGTTACCTCAGGCATTGTGAGGTCAAAGGTCAGGTTAAATCCCTGTCTGAATATGATATGGCATGGCACCAGGCCTCATAGGGAAGCTTATGAACAGCGTATTAATGTCTAATAACCATCACATGAAGCTTTATAATCCCCTTGGCCTTTGGGGGCGGCAGGTAGCATAGTGGTTAAGAGCGTTGTGCCAGTAACCGAAAGGTCGCTGGTTCTAATCCCAGAGCCGACTAGGTGAAAAATCTGTTGATGTGCCCTTGAGCAAGGCACTTAACCCTAATTGCTCTTGTAAGTCGCTCTGGATAAGAGCGTCTGCTAAATGACTAAAATGTAAAAATGGGTATGGTAATACTGCAGGCTTCTCATTCCCAGACCTGGTTTTGTGACAATGTCTGCATTCCACAACATTGACAATGCATGTATGTTATGACAATAGGAATGTTCTATTCATAGGGAGATATGTGGATGGATTCAGTCATTACCTAGAATGTAACTTATTTGGACATCAAACATGGTCCAAAATATTGTGATGGATGTGCAATTTTACTTCAGATGTGTGTTTACTTGTCATGAAAGACAACTGTAGAAGAGCTCTTTGTAATGGATAGAGTGACATCTAGGGGAACATCGCAATACTGCAAGTCTTGCGTACCTTCACCCGTTCAGCCTCATTTCACAAAACTTGCTCAAATGTCTGCATAACGTTTATACTACATGAAAAAATATATATATTCTATCATCAAAATAGAGCTTTGAGAATTGTATGATTATTTTAAAATATACCTCTCAGGTTACCAGTATTATTTTCAACACAAAATTAGAGCATGAATCCTGGTGTTATAAACATGTACGTTTACGACTATGTTTTACTCCTATTTATCCCCTGTGTAGCTTGTGGTTGCCATGAAAAAGGGTCGTACTCGGGAGTGTGTGACCTCCTTACTGGACGGTGTACCTGCAAACCCAACGTGGTGGGTGAGAAGTGTGACCAGTGTCAGGTATGTAGATTGTATAGCATTCTCTATGTTCAGTTTCATATTATTTTCACAACTTCAAACTCGCATACTATAGGGCCAAGAGTTTTTCTGGCTATATGGTCGAGTCACATGGCCAGTCCCTTCTACCCTCCTAGACTATTTTCCCTGTAATTCCTCCCAACTTCCAACTCCCCACTCCCACACCTCATGGAATAAGTATTTGGAATTTGGAAACGGATACTAAATTACTAACCCTAATCCAGGCCAGTCCATTGGAACACTTAGTTATCAGTGGGTGTCCAAGGTCTCCCGCTTCTCTCCTCCCCGTGTCCTACTTTCCAATAGAACCCCCAGCTGGTCTGAAGGCAGTCCAATGTTTTGGGAATATTCATTAGCACGGTCAGATTATCTGTCGGCTCCCTGGCAGAGAGAGGGAGGGAAGGAGGGGGAGATATCTTTAGTTGATTTTTTTTAGGGCAGTAGAGGGGTTTGTTTGGTGGAGGTGGGTGGAGGGGAGCTCTTTGGCTGGGCAGGGGCTGTTCAAATGTAACCAAAAACACATGGATTCAAAACATCTAGAGATGGTTATCTGGAGAAAACAGAGCGCAGTCTTGGCCTTCTCTTTCTCTCAATATGTTAACCAAAAATTACATTCCAATTTGCGGATGTAGAAATTGAGAGATGGGGATGGAAGGGGGTTAGCAGCTTCTCTCTAATCCCAGAATTAGATGATCTGGCTGGGGTAAATTCTGACCTAAGGCCTGGCTGTCTGGTTCCTGGTTTTCCATTGGGTCCAATTTGGACTGAGAGTTGACAGCTTTGGCAGAGAGGACTGATAGAGACAGACTCCACCAGTAATATTACAGGAGATAGGAGATACTTCCTGCCTGTTCATGTCGATGGTAACTGAGATGATTGGTGACAGTGAGACCCTCTGATTGATAGTGACGATGTCATTAGAAGTGTTACGTCTAATGTCACTTGGCCTCCTGCTATATGCTCTCTATCAAGGATACAGACTCAGAGTAATACACCTTTTTTTCTGGATATACTTGTATTGATGTTTTACAGTTTAAGAAAGGTTGAATGAATGATCAAGAGGATTCTCAGAAGGATGGAGTCTGCTGGTTAGTTGATGGAAGTTAGTAACAATTGGTGTTTTCGTCTGTGTTTTCCAGGTGGGCTTCCACGGTCTTCTCAACGGACAGGGGTGCAGAGAATGTAACTGTATCCAGTCAGGATCTGTGTCCACGGCCTGTGAGGAAGATGGGCGGTGCCAATGCATCCCAGGGGTGGCGGGGGACAAGTGTGACCGCTGTCACCATGGTTACTTTAACTACCAGGGCAGCGGCTGTACACGTAAGGCCACAAACATTACCCAAACTTTAACAGACATTTACATTTGAGTTTCCTTCTGATCTGAACTGATCATAGTGCTCTCTCCACCCCACTCTCTCTCTCTCTCTCTCTCTCTCTCTCGTTCTCGCTCTCCTCCCCCATTCAGAGTGTGAGTGTGCCCACACCCATGGCAACTGTAACGCGACGACAGGCGAGTGTATCTGTCCTCCCCACACCAGAGGAGAGAAGTGTGAGCTGTGTGAAGAAGGTCACTGGGGTCACGACACTGTGACAGGCTGTAAGGTAAAACCCACCTCTCCTACTGGAAATGTATACGCCTTTATAAGGCCTACATATCCCTACATTGACTATTTTAATGCCTACATAGATGCTTCATAAGTTATAAATGTAATAAGCAAATTCATATAACATAAAAGTTGTTCATTAAAGCTCATCTTTGCCCCTTTGTTCCTAGTCATGTGACTGCAGTGAGGCGGGCAGCTCTGCCACCCAGTGTGGCATCACAAACGGGCAGTGCCAGTGCCGCTCTGAGTTTGCCGGGCAGAACTGTGACCGCTGCGCCATGGGCTACAGGGGCTACCCAGAATGCACGGTGTGCAACTGCAATACCAACGGCACCAGAGAGGAGTTCTGTGATGAGGAACTGGGCGTGTGCAGCTGTGAGGCCCCAGGGAACTGTGTGTGCAAGGTACTTAAACTGCTGGTGAAATTGGTTGAGTGAACAAACAGTAATCTTGTATCATATGATGGAATATCATATCTGTTATGGCCTATGATAGTGTTGTGTTTTATTGTGTCCGTACGAAGTATGTTGTCTGTTTAAATTAATTGGTCTGTGGTTGCCAGGACAACGTGGGCGGAGGTGGCTGTGATGAGTGTAAGAAGGGAACCTTCGGCCTATCTGGTTCTAACCCGGCCGGCTGCAGCCCCTGCTTCTGTTTCGGGGTCTCCTCAGACTGTGAGGAGCTGGGTGGGATGGTCCGGGTGCTGGTGAGTACAGTCCACTTATCCAAACCCTCATCATCCAGGGGTCTGTTCAGTGAGTTGAAACATTCAGAACACTACAGATAGAGATGTAAGGAATAAACCCACTGGGCACAGACGTCAGTTCAACGTCTAGTTTTTTTGAGTTTTCAGCTAATGTGAATTCAACGTGAAATCAACAAAAAAGGTCACCATGTCATTGGATTTAGGTTCAAAGTTAGGTGAAAAAATATGAAATGCCGTTGATTACTTTTTGCAAATCCAATCAGTTTTCCACGTTGATTCAATGTCATCACATAGATCTTTTGGGTTGAAATAATGTGGAAACAATGTTGATTCAACCAGTTTTTGCCCAGTGGGGAGCTATCACTACACTATTTGCCATGACAGATGAATATGTCTGTTTGGCACAATGCATTTTCTACCTGAATGTTCTGTAATTTTTGTTTTCCATTGAAAAACGTTTTAAAACGTGTGCCAGCTACTGAATATTACCCTGGTTTCCTGTTTTAGTCCCGCCCATCTGCTTCCTGTTCAGATGGGTGGCTATGCTAACAGGGTTGAGAAACTGTCCGCCATTGTCTGAAGGGGTTGAGCGGCCATCATTCTGCCATTTTCTAAACAAAATACTTAAAATTCTTTCTAGTCGCTGTCTGGAATGGCAATACCTTTGTTTAGTGATACTCTTATATTCTTTATACAACAACAATACTGTATAATATCTTGGCTTCTATTTGTCTGGTTTATGTCAGAATCATTTTCTCTGTCTTGTTTATAACCTCGTTAGCCAAGAAGCAACCGGCATGTCAAATCTAACAATGTATCATGCTTAGAGCCTGGAGTTTTTCCTGAAAATGCGTCATGACCAGGAAGATATCATCTATAAGCTATTTCCGAGTTCAAAGCTCTTTGGTCAGGTGTATCCAGATGTTTTGGCCCATACTAATTCTTCAGCTGTACACTATCTCATCTGTCTGGATGAAGAACAAACTCTTTATCCTCACCACATCAGTCACTGGCTTCATCAATAAGTGCATCGATGACGTCGTCCCAACAGTGACTGTACGTACATACCCCAACCAGAAGCCATGGATTACAGGCAACATCCGCACTGAGCTAAAGGGTAGAGCCACCGCTTTCAAGGAGCGGGACTCTAACCCGGAAGCTTTTTTTTATTTTTTTACATTTTTAGTCATTTAGCAGACGCTCTTATCCAGAGCGACTTACAGGAGCAATTAGGGTTAAGTGCCTTGCTCAAGGGCACATCGACAGATTTTTCACCTAGTCGGCTCGGGGATTAGAACCAGCGACCTTTCGGTTACTGGCACGACGCTCTTACCCACTAAGCTACCTATGCCCTCCGACAAACCATCAAACAGGCAAAGATCGACTCGTACTACACCGGCTCCGACACTCGTCGGATGTGGCAGGGCTTGCAAACTATTACAGACTACAAAGGGAAGCACAGTCACGAGCTGCCCAGTGACACGAGCCTACCAGACGAGCTAAATTACTTCTATGCTCACTTCGAGGCAAGTAACACTGAAACGTGCATGAGAGCATCAGCTGTTCCGGACGACTGTGTGATCACGCTCTCCGTAGCCGATGTGAGTAAGACCTTTAAACAGGTCAACATTCACAAGGCCGCAGGGCCAGACGGATTACCAGGACATGTACTCCGAGCATGCGCTGACCAACTGGCAAGTGTTTTCACTGACATTTTCAACCTGTCCCTGGCCAAGTCTGTAATACCTACGTTTCAAGCAGACCACCATAGTCCCTGTGCCCAAGAACACTAAGATAACCTGCCTAAATGACTACCGACCCGTAGCACTCACATCTGTAGCCATTAAGTGCTTTGAAAGGCTGGTCATGGCTCACATCAACACCATTATCCCAGAAACCCTAGACCCACTCCAATTTGCATACCGCCCCAACAGATCCACAGATGATGCAATCTCTATTGCGCTCCACACTGCCCTTTCACACCTGGACAAAAGGAACACCTATGTGAGAATACTATTCATTGACTACAGCTCAGCGTTCAACACCATAGTGCCCTCAAAGCTCATAACTAAGCTAAGGACCCTGGGACTAAACACCTCCCTCTGCAACTGGATCCTGGACTTCCTGATGGGCCGCCCCCAGGTGGTAAGGGTAGGTAACAACACATATATCAGCCATCTGATTACAATGAAGAGCAAGATGTGCCGCTCTGTTCTGGGCCAGCTGCAGCTTAACTAGGTCTTTCTCAGCAGCGCTTGACCACATGGCTGGACAATAATCAAGATAAGACAAAACTAGAGCCTGCAGGACTTGCTTTGTGAAGACCTCTCCCTATCTTTACAACCATTAAATCTATATCACATCTGCCACGCTGATCCTCAACACGTGGGCCCCTCAGGGGTGCGCGCTCAGTCCCCTCCTGTACTCCCTGTTCACTCATGACTGCATGGCCAGGCACGACTCCAACACCATCATTAAGTTTGCCGATGACACAACAGTTGTAGGCCTGATCACCGACAACGACGAGACAGCCTATAGGGAGGTCAGAGACCTGGCCGTGTGGTGCCAGGATAACAACCTCTCCCTCAACGTGATCAAGACAAAGGAGATGATTGTGGACTACAGGAAAAAAAGAGGACTGAGCACGCCCCCATTCTCATCGACGGGGCTGTAGTGGAGCAGGTTGAGAGATTCAAGTTCCTTGGTGTCCACATCACCAACAAACTAACATGGTCCAACCATACCAAGACAGGAGCGAAGAGGGCACGACAAAACCTATTCCCCTTAAGGAGACTGAAAATATTTGCCATGGGTCCTCAGATCCTCAAAAGATTCAACAGCTGCACCATCGAGAGCATCTTGACTGGTTGCATCACTGACTGGTATGGCAACTGCTCGGCCTCCGACCGCAAGGCACTGCAGAGGGTAGTGCGTACGGCCCAGTATATCACTGTGGCCAAGCTTCCTGCCATCCAGGGCCTCTATACCAGGCGGTGTCAGAGGAAGGCCCTTAAAATTGTCAAAGATTACAGTTCTCTCTGCTACCGCACGGCAAGCGGTACCGGAGCGCCTAGTCTAGGTCCAAGAGGCTTCTAAACAGCTTCTACCCCCAAGCCATAAGACTCCTGAACATCTAATCAAATGGCTACCCAGACTATTTGCATTTATTTTTTTTCGCTGCTGCTACTCTCTGTTTATTATCTATGCATAGACACTTTAATAGCTCTAACTACATGTACATATTACCTCAATTACCTCGACTAACCGGTGCCCCCGCACATTGACTCGGTACCGGTACCCCCTGTATTTAGCCTCGCTATTGTTATTTTTACTGCTGCTCTTTAATTATTTGTTACTTTTATTTCGTATTATTTTATATAGTATTTTTTTGTGATTTTATGGGGGGTATTCTTTCTTAAAACTGCATTTTTGGTTAAGTAATAATTTCACTATAAGGTCTACTACTGTCACGATCGTCGGGTACAGAGGACCAAAGCGCAGCGTGAAAGGTGAACATATTTATTAAATAATGATAACACGAACAAAACAACAAACGATAACATGACGTCCTCGGTCTAACACAAACCACACTGGAACAAGATCCCACAAACACTGTGGGAAAACTGGCTGCTTAAGTATGGTCCCAATCAGAGACAACAAGCAACAGCTGATACATGTTGCCTCTGATTGAGAACCACACTGGCCAACATAGAAATACAAAACTAGAACAAAAACAAATGAAAACTCACACCCTGGCTCAACATACTAGAGTCCCCAGAGCCAGGGCGTGACAACTACACCTGTTGTATTCGGCACATGTGACAAATAAAATGTGATTTGATTTGATTAGTCGCTGAATGCTCCTAATTAGCTTCATTTTAATTGGGTACAATAGAGAGGAAATAAAATGCCCAGAAAGATGCCCAACAGGATGCCCATCTTAGTAATGCCACGTACGGTGCCTGCTGCTCGCAGCCTGGTGCCCGGCTCAAGGATGCACGTGCCCTGTGTAGCGTTTAGCTATGTGTGTGTTTTGTCTATACACACACTCATGCGTTTGTGTGTATCTATCTGTTCATACAGATCACACTGGGCTCTGACCCAGAGCTGCTTCGTGTGGTCAGTCAGAGTGACTTCCAGGGCAGTGTGGAGGGGGTCTACTACCAGACCCCAGACATGCTGCTGGACACCAGGGAGATAGAGAGCACCAGCCTGGCTGGACCCTACTACTGGAGGCTTCCCAAACACTACCAGGGAAACAAGGTACACTACACCTCACATCACTGTTACCTCATGAAGTGACTATATGAGACTTCAGGCCTGGGTTCCAATAGCATTTGTGTTCTTTCATATAGCTGCAGTTGACTGAGCTTGCCTGGTGCAATGGAACCAATGGAATAGTCACAAAAGTGCAAACCCTTTTCAATTGGTACTTCCAAAAATCTAAAATACTAACACATCCTTTCTTGTCTTCTCTTTCTAGTTGTTGTCATATGGAGGGAAGCTATCCTACCTGGTGGCATTCCATGCTCTGGACGGGGCCGGCCTGGCCAACAACGAGCCCCAGGTCCTGATGAGGGGGGGTCATCTGAGGAAGCAGGTCATCTACATAGACATGCCTGCCCCCGACAACGGGGTAAAAACCCGTCAGGACGTCCCACTGACCGAGGTAAGAAGGAGACCAGAAACAAGGCCTAAAGCTGAAGTAGTTTGACTATCTGGGGTTCGAACCCAAATGTCCTGCATGCTAAAAGAATGTGTTATCTGGCTGAGCTAAAGCCTACAAATCCTACTAATAATATAACTAATAATAAAATAATAATACAAATAATATATTACAATATAACTAATATAATGCTTTGATTTCTCTTGATCAGCACAAGTGGAAGTATTTCAACTCTGTGTCAGAGAAAGCTGTGAGTCACTCGGACTTCATGGCGGTCCTGAGCAACATCGAGTACATCACCATCAAAGCCTCTTACGGTACAAGGCTACAGCAGAGCAGGTTAGCACACACACACACACACACACACACACACACACACACACACACACACACACACACACACACACACACACACAGACACACACACACACACACACACACACACACACACACACACACACACACACACACACACACACATACTATGTTTGTGTCAACACTATAAAGTGACTATCATATCAATCTTGTCATTGTCTTTCGTTAGAATCTCCAATATCACTATGGATACAGCCCTAGAGGCGGAGGAGGGGTTGAAGGGTATGGAGGTGGCATGTCTGATCGAGACGTGTGTGTGTCCAGCTGGCTACGCTGGACTGTCCTGCCAGGTCAGACTGCTTTGAGACAGTTTTTCACATCTCTCTTGGGGTTGCACGATCGCCTGTGATTTGACAGACATCTTATCTTGTTATCCACAATTTCTTCCCTCAACACCAGTCTTTCTTCCATTGTAGCGATAGCCTGTAATTTCCATATACACTATATATACAAAAGTAGGTGGACACCCCTTCAAATTAGTGGATTCGGCTATTTCAGCCACCCCTGTTGCTGACAGGTGTATAAAATCGAGCACACAGCCATGCAATCTCCATAGACAAACATTGGCAGTAGAATGGCCTTACTGAAGAGCTCAGTGACTTTCAATGTGGCAGTGTCATAGGATGCCACCTTTCCAACAAGTCAGTTCGTCAAATTTCTGCCCTGCTAGAGCTGCCCTGGTCAACTGTAAGTCCTGTTATTGTGAAGTGGAAATATCTAGGAGCAACAACGGCTCAGCCGCGAAGCGGTAGGCCACACAAGCTCACAGAATGGGACCGGCGAGTGCTGAAGTGTGTTGTCCTCGGTTGCAACACTTACTACAGAGCTCCAAACTGCCTCTGGAAGCAACATCAGCACAATAACTGTTCGTCGGGAGCTTCATGAAATGGGTTTCCATGGCCGAGCAGCCTAAGATTACCATGCGCAATGCCAAGCGTCGGCTGGAGTGGTGTAAAGCTCGCCGCCATTGGACTCTGGAGCAGTAGAAACGCGTTCTCTGGAGTGATGAATCACGCTTCACCATCTGGCAGTTCAACGTACGAATCTGGGTTTGGCGGGTGCCAGGATAACTCTACCTGCCCCAATGCATAGTGCCAACTGTAAAGTTTAGTGGAGGAGGAATAATGATCTGGGTCTGTTTTTCATGGTTCGGTCTAGGCCCCTTAGCTCCAATGAAGGGAAATGTAAACGCTACAGCATACAATGACATTCTAGATGATTCTGTGCTTCCAAATTTGTGACAACAGTTTGGGGAAGGCCCTTTCCTGTTTCAGCATAACAATGCCCCGTGTACAAAGCAAGGTCCATACAGAAATTGTTTATTGAGATCGGTGTGGAAGAACTTGACTGGCCTGCACAGAGCCCTGACCTCAACCCCATCGAACACCTTTGGGATGAATTGAAACGCCTACTGTGAGCCAGGCCTAATCGCCCAACATCAGTGCCCGACCTCACTAATGCTCTTGTGGCTGAATGGAAGCAAGTCCCAGCAGCAATGTTCCAACATTTAGTGGAAAACCTTCCCAGAAGAGTGGAGGCTGTTATCGCAGCAAAGGGGGGACCAACTCCATATTAATGCCCATGATTTTGGAATGAGATGTTAAGACAAGCAGGTATCCACATACTTTTGGCCATGTAGTGTATGTTCTGGATTGTGGTGTTGTCCATTGATGTTAACTTGTGTTGTGTGTAGGAGTGTGCCCCTGGCTACTACCGCCAACCAGTGACTGAGCTGAACAGCGGGAAGAGACCGCTGATCCAGCCGTGTGTGCCCTGCCGTTGTAACAACCACAGCCAGGCCTGCGACCTGGACACGGGAGAATGCCTGAGCTGCCAACACAACACGGCAGGGGAGCACTGTAGCGTGTGTTCCTCAGGGTACTATGGGAACGTGAAAGGCTCCATCAGTGACTGCTCGCTGTGTGCCTGCCCCCTCAAAGAGAACAGGTACCTGTCTCACTCTCCTCTCAGCCACACGTGTTCTGATAAGTGAGGTGTTCTTGAGTTTAAATGTCTCATTCCACACATACAGTTGAAGTCGGAAGTTTACATACACTTAGGTTGGAGTCATTAAAACTAGTTTTTCAACCACTCCACAAATTTCTTGTTAACAAACTATAGTTTTGGCAAGTCGGTTAGGACATCTACTTTGTGCATGACACAAGTCGTTTACAGACAGATTATTTCACTTATAATTCACTATATAACAATTCCAGTGGGTCAGAAGTTTACATATACTAAGTTGACTGTGGCTTTAAACAGCTTGGCAAGTTCCAGAAAATATGTCATGGTTTTAGAAGCTTCTGATAGGCTAATTGACATCATTTTAGTTAATTGGAGGTGTAACTGTGGATGTATTTCAAGGACTACCTTCAAACTTACTGCCTCTTTGCTTGACATCATGGGAAAATCAAAAGAAATCAGCCAAGACCTCAGAAAATTGTAGACCTCCACAAGTCTGGTTCATCCTTGAGAGCAATTTCCAAACGCCTGAAGGTACCACGTTCATCTGTCCATAACAATAGTACGCAAGTATAAACACCATTGGACCACGCATCCGTCATACTGCTCAGGAAGGAGACGTGTTCTGTCTCCTAGAGATGAACGTACTTTGGTGCGAAAAGTGCAAACAGGACCTTGTGAAGATGCTGGAGGAAACAGGTACAAAAGTATCTATATCCACAGTAAAACAAGTCCTATATCGACAAACCTGAAAGGCCGCTCAGCAAGGAAGAAGCCACTGCTCCATAACCGCAATATAAAAAAGCCAGACTACGGTTTGCAACTGCACATGGGGACAAAGATCGTACTTTTTGGATAAATGTCCTCTGGTCTGATGAAACGAAAATAGAACTGTTTGGCCATAATGACCATCGTTATGTTTGGAGGAAAAAGGGGGTCCCTTGCAAGCTGAAGAACACCATCCCAACCGTGAAGAACGGGGGTGGAAGCATCATGCTGTGGGGGTGCTTTGCTGCAGGAGGGACTGGTGCACTTCACAAAATAGATGGCATCATGAGGAAGGAAAATTATGTGGATATATTGAAGCAACCTCTCAAGACATCAGTCAGGAAGTTAAAGCTTGGTCGCAAATGGGTCTTCCAAATGGACAATGACCCCAAGCATACTTCCAAAGTTGTGCCAAAATGGCTTAAGGACAACAAAGTCAAGGTATTGGAGTGGCCATCACAAAGCCCTGACCTCAATCCTATAGAAAATATGTGGGCAGAACTGAAAAAGCGTGTGCGAGCAAGGAGGCCTACAAACCTGACTCAGTTACACCAGCTCTGTCAGGAGGAATGGGCCAAAATTCACCCAACTTATCATGGGAAGCTTGTGGAAGGCTACCTGAAACATTTGACCCAAGTTAAACAATTTAAAGGCAATGCTACCAAATTGAGTGTATGTAAACTTCTGACCCACTGGGAATAATAATAATAATAATAATAATATGCCATTTAGCAGACCCTTTTATCCAAAGCGACTTACAGTCATGTGTGCATACATTTTTGTGTATGGGTGGTCCCGGGGATCGAACCCACTACCTTGGCGTTACAAGCGCCGTGCTCTACCAGCTGAGCTATGTAAACTTGGAATGTGATGAAAGAAATAAAAGCTGAAAGAAATAATTCTCTCTACTATTATTCTGACATTTCACATTCTTAAAATAAAGTGGTGATCCTAACTGACCTAAGACAGGGAATTTTTACAAGGATTAAATGTCAGGTATTGTGAAAAACTTAGTTTAAATGTATTTGGCTAAGGTGTATGTAAACTTCAACTTCAACTGTAGTATATTTTAAAGAGATTAATACACACATATTGATTACACATTATTGTAAAGAGCACATATTCTATCTCATAAAAAATGGGTTTTCCTTAGAATGCTGAAGCTAATTTGGTCTATAGTGGAGGGGGATTCAGTGAATGGGTGTCCTCTGATAATAAAGGCTTTAGCCAGCAGAGGGCAGTGAGGAGATATAGTAGTCTCTATATCACTGTCTGACCTAGTGGATGACTGTGTACTGTTGTGTGTCAGCTTCAGTCCTACCTGTGCTCTAGAGGGAGTGATGGGAGACTTCCGCTGTAACGCCTGCAAGCCCGGCTATGAGGGGCGCTACTGTGAGAGGTAAGAGAGTATTACAGTGTCACCTGTTGGATCTCAAGCGTTTCGTTAGATACCATCAATACACCTCTGACTAAGACAACCATTTTATTCTCTCTCTCTGTTTCTTTCTTTCTCTCTCTCTCGCCCTCGCTTCCTCTATCTCTCTATTCCATTATTTCTCCCCCTCACTGTTTCTCCCCCCCCCCCCCCCTCTCTCAGGTGTGCAGTGGGTTACTATGGGAACCCGTCAGCTTCAGGTGGGAAGTGTGAGGTGTGTCAGTGTAGTACTGCAGGGTCTCTCCATCCAGCATGTGACTCGCTGACGGGTCAGTGTGAATGTAAGGCTGGGGTCAGGGGACACCTGTGTGACCAGTGCGAGGCGAGACACGTCCTGGACGGGGACCAGTGTGTCTGTGAGTATCCTACTCTTTGATTTGTGCAGGGCTTACCATTATATGCTTACCATTATACTTAGATGCTTATAAGGGCATGTCTGCACACACGTAACCATGCTCACTCACTCACAGACATACACACACACACACACACACACACACACACAGACACTCTCACACACACACACACACACACACACACACACACACAAATAACTGCAACTCCCCCTACCCTCAGCGTGTGATGATGAGTGTACCAGGGTGCTCCTGGATGACCTGGATGCAGTAGAGCGCTCCTTCCTGTCTGTCAACCTGACCGGGGTCATCCTGTCCCCCTACAGCACACTGGTCAACCTGGAGAACGACACGCGAGAGGTCAAGGTAAAAGAGGGGTCATATTATACCTCTCTGTCCAGGAGGTCTTGAACTCATCTTTTGAATCCCCTGCCTCCTGCCTTGTCTTCAGTTCAGAAGTACTCAGTACACATTCAATGAGAGAAAGACTGTTGTAAAACACTTATGTCTTCATTTCTCTCCTAGTCTCTGATGTCTACGGATAGGAGCCCAGCCTATCACCTGACCAGGGATGAGGAGGACTTGACAAACCTCACCCAGGACATAGACGGACTGCTACAGAAGGCTACGGGTGTGTCTGCTGATGGAGAGGAAGTGGCCCGGTCCACAGAGAACAGCATTACCCAGGGGGCCGAGCTTCTGGAGTACATCAACACCATTCAGACTGCCATACAAGGTGCTGCCACAGGACATCATGCTATTTAAAAATGGTTCCATAGCTAAAGGGGTCAAAAATGTTCCTTGTTTCCTTGTTGATGCTGTTTCCATTTATTTTTAGACAAGCTGTTAACCTCTAAGCCCTTCCCTCTCTGTGATTGGCTAAGCCCTGGCGGAGGAAGCTGGCCGTCTGAACAGGACAGACAACGTGGAGATGAACGAGGCTAAGAGCAAGCGGCTAGTGAAGCAGGTGGCGACCATGTTGGAAAACATCAGAGCGTTCGACTTAGCCCAGGCCAACGCCAGCGCCTCTACAGAACTCAGGTTGGTTAGCCGTATAAGGTGGCCGATTTTATATAGGCTACCCTTTCTGGATCCAATCTCATACTATCTGCACTTAGAAGTCAACTGTTAATACCACCTAACTAGAACAGCTCTGTAAGCTCTAAGTAACACTGTTCCTTGTTGTACTACAGTGATTGATTATACTGTAACACTGCTCTGGGCTCTATTGGTTTAGTAAGGTTGTATTAGAGTGTAGTTACTAGACTATAGTACATGAATGGGTATAGCTGACTAACCCTCTTGTGTTATGTGTGTACTATAGTTGAAGTGACTGTAGTGTACTGTATTCTAACCCTCCTGTGTTATGTTGACTGCAGTGCTGCCAAGGCTCTCCTCCAGAGGGTGCAGAAGGACCTCCAGCAGCCCCAGGGGACGCTAGAGTCCCAGACCCTCAACATCTCCACCAGTTTGACCCAACACCACCAGCAGCTAGAGGGCGCCCAGGCCCTTCTGAACACAGCCAGGGAGAACAACAACCACACACACACCCTGCTGGGGAGCGTCAACACCAATCTGGGACAGTACCAGGTCAGTACACTTAGTGTTCTCACAATACCCAAGCACTTTACATGTAGTAAGAGTTTGCCATTACTGTTGACATGTGTCGAAGGCCAAATCATATCTGGTCACTTTTAGTCAAATGTAGGCGTATACATGTAAAATGTAGTCAAATGTAGGTTGTGAAGTTAATTGATTTAGATGTTCACTCATTTTCAAACATCTTAGCTGTATAGGGGCAATGCATTTCTCCAATAGTAGTATTAGGACTGTCGTCTCTGCGCGTGTGTAGGGACTGAAGCAGAATGTGAGCCGGCTGAACCAGACAGCAGAAACCCAACTGGAGGAGACTCAGGACATCCTGGCTGATGCTGTCAATCTAGCAGAGGACATGGGCAACATCACCTCTGTTAGTCACACCATAACACCATATTACCACCAAATCCATATCAAACACATGTTGTACGTCAGAATCAATAACTTTATTTGTTGATTTAAACGTTATATTCCAAGGAAGTCAGTAGAGATTGTACACATTTTTTAAGGAAACCTGGCCAGTGTAAAAAAAAATATACTACATTTTGGGAAAATGCTGTTTAGCTAACTGAATCTGTTTATTTAGCTAACTGTTTATTTTGGTTATGTGCGACTTGTAAAGCAACTGGAGGGGGCCAAGCACCAGCTGGAGCAGTGGAACCCCATGTTGAGGAAGCATGTGGACGCTCTGGTGATGGAGCTGAGGGAGCAAGACGTTCTGGAGCTGGTCTACAAGGCTGAAGACCACGCCCAGGAACTCAGCAAGAAGGCCCAGGCTCTGCAGAGGTGTGTGTGGCGGCGGGAACTTCTACATATGTACCCTTTCAAAGGGGTTTACGGGTATTTCAAAATGCCTCGCCATCACAAACATTAGGTCATTGAAATAGGACTAAATATCTATATTTAGTCCATCCATGTACATCAGCCTAACCTCATCCTCCTGTATGTAGCTCTCTAGCGGAGGGGATGAATACCACTCTGAACGTCACCAGTGCAGCGCATGCCAATTCTAACATCAGAGCTAACGTCCAGCCTGCAGAGGAGATGGCTAACCTAGCCAACCTGACTGCTGCTATGGCCCTCAATATGGTGAGTCACCGCTCATTTAGTGTCCATTCACTATTCATATCAGACCATGGAATAACTAGACTGGTCCCAGATCTGTTTGGGCTGTCCTGCCAACTCCTATGGTCGTTGTGATGCCGAACACCATAGGAGTTGGAAAGACAGCACAAACAGATCTGGGATCAGGCTAGAGAACTACTCTACTACACTGGATATGAAGTGTGCTGTGGGTCAGAAACCTGAAAACTATAGTAGTGTCGTAAATAACTCTCTCACTCTCTGTGTTGACTGTAGACTGTCCAGCATGAGGAATCACTAACTGATCTGGGATCTGAGGCTGTGCAGCGTAGTGCTAAGATACTGGCTGAGAGTCTGGCCATGAACAACAGCACTGAGGGTGAGTTGGAGCACACACACACACAGTCTTGTATAACTAACCCATTCAGTCCCATTCAAAATCCAATCTAACCCTAAACCTAATCCTAAACCTAACCCTAACCTCAAAATCCTATTTTCCCAATCCATAACCCTAACCCTAACCCTTCAAAATCCTATTTTCCCAATCCATAAACCTAACCCTAAACCTATCCCTAACCCTAACACAGTCTTGTATAACTAACCCATTCAGTCCCATTCAAAATCCAATTTTCCCAATCCATAACCCTAACCCTAACCTCAAAATCCTATTTTCCCAATCCATAAACCGAACCCTAAAACTAACCCTAACACAGTCTTGTATAACTAACCCATTCAGTCCCATTCAAAATCCTATTTTCCCAATCCATAACCCTAACCCTAACCTCAAAATCCTATTTTCCCAATCCATAAACCCTAACCCTAACCCTTCAAAATCCTATTTTCCCAATCATAAACCCTGAACCTAACCCTAACCCTAACCTCAAAATCCTATTTTCCCAATCCATAAACCCTAACCCTAACCCTTCAAAATCCTATTTTCCCAATCCATAAACCTAACCCTAAACCTATCCCTAACCCTAACACAGTCTTGTATAACTAACCCATTCAGTCCCATTCAAAATCCAATTTTCCCAATCCATAACCCTAACCCTAAACCTAATCGTAAACCTAACCCTAACCTCAAAATCCTATTTTCCCAATCCATAACCCTAACCCTAACCCTTCAAAATCCTATTTTCCCAATCCATAAACCTAACCCTAAACCTATCCCTAACCCTAACACAGTCTTGTATAACTAACCCATTCAGTCCCATTCAAAATCCAATTTTCCCAATCCATAACCCTAACCCTAACCTCAAAATCCTATTTTCCCAATCCATAAACCGAACCCTAAAACTAACCCTAACACAGTCTTGTATAACTAACCCATTCAGTCCCATTCAAAATCCTATTTTCCCAATCCATAACCCTAACCCTAACCTCAAAATCCTATTTTCCCAATCCATAAACCCTAACCCTAACCCTTCAAAATCCTATTTTCCCAATCATAAACCCTGAACCTAACCCTAACCCTAACCTCAAAATCCTATTTTCCCAATCCATAAACCCTAACCCTAACCCTTCAAAATCCTATTTTCCCAATCCATAAACCTAACCCTAAACCTATCCCTAACCCTAACACAGTCTTGTATAACTAACCCATTCAGTCCCATTCAAAATCCTATTTTCCCAATCCATAACCCTAACCCTAACCTCAAAATCCTATTTTCCCAATCCATAACCCTAACCCTAACCCTAACCTCAAAATCCTATTTTCCCAATCCATAAACCCTAACCCTAACCTCAAAATCCTATTTTCCCAATCCATAACCCTAACCCTAACCCTAACCTCAAAATCATATTTTCCGAATCCATAAACCCTAACCCTAACCCTTAAAAATCCTATTTTCCCAATCATAAACCCTAAACCTAACCCTAACCCTAACACAGTCTTGTATAACTAACCCATTCAGTCCCATTCAAATCCTATTTTCCCAATCATAAACCCTAAACCTAACCCTAACCCTAACACAGTCTTGTATAACTAACCCATTCAGTCCCATTCAAAATCCTATTTTCCCAATCCATAACCCTACCCCTAACCCTAACCCTAACCTCAAAGTCCTATTTTCCCAATCTATAACCCTAACCCTAAACCTAACCCTAACCTCAAAATCCTATTTTCCCAATCCATAAACCTAACCCTAAACCTAACCCTAGCGCCTAACCCTAACCTCAAAATCCTATTTTCCCAATCCATAAACCCTAACCCTAACCTCAAAATCCTATTTTCCCAATCCATAACCCTAACCCTAAACCTAACCCTAGCGCCTAACCCTAACCCGTCAAAATCCTATTTCCCCAATCCATAAACCTAACCCTAACCCTTCAAAATCCTATTTTCCCAATCCATAAACCTAACCGTAACCTCAAAATCATATTTTCCCAATCCATAAACTTAACCCTAAACCTTCAAAATCCTATTTTCCCAATCATAAACCCTAAACCTAACCCTATCCCTAACACAGTCTTGTATAACTAACCCATTCAGTCCCATTCAAAATCCTATTTTCCCAATCAATTTCCCTAACCCTAAACCTAACCCTAGCGTCTAACCCTACCCCTTCAATATCCTATTTTCCCAATCCATAAACCTAACCCTAACCCTAACCTAAAAATCCTATTTTCCCAATCCATAACCCTAACCCTAAACCTAACCCTAGCGTCTAACCCTAACCCTAAACCTAACTTTAGCGCCTAACCCTAACCCATTCAGTCCCATTCAAAATCCTATTTTCCCAATCACTAAACCTACCCTAAACCTAACCCTAGCGCCTAACCCTAACCCATTCAGTCCTATTCAAAATCCTATTTTCCCAATCCATAAACTTAATCCTAACCCATTCAGTCCCATTCAAAATCCTATTTTCCCTAAACCTAACCCTAGCGTCTAACCCTAACCCATTCAGTCCCATTCAAAATCCTATTTTCCCAATCCATTACCCTAACCCTAAACCTAACGCTAGCGCCTAACCCTACCCCTTCAATATCCTATTTTCCCAATCCATAAACCTAACCCTAACCTAAAAATCCTATTTTCCCAATCCATATACCTAACCCTAAACCTAAACCTAGCACCTAACCCTAAACCTAACCCTAGCGCCTAACCCTAACCCATTCAATCCCATTCAAAATCCTATTTTGCCAATCCATAAACCCTAACCCTAACCCATTCAGTCCAATTCAAAATCCTATTTTCCCAATCCATGAATCTAAACCTAACCCTAACCCATTCAGTCCCATTCAAAATCCTATTTTCCCAATCCATAAACCCTAACCCTAACCCATTCAGTCCAATTCAAAATCCTATTTTCCCAATCCATGAATCTAAACCTAACCCTAACCCATTCAGTCCCATTCAAAATCCTATTTTCCCAATCCATAAACCTAACCCTAATCCATTCAGTCCCATTCAAAATCCTATTTTCCCAATCACTAAACCTAACCCTAAACCTAACCCTAGCGCCTAACCCTAACCCTAACGCATTCAGTCCTATTCAAAATCCTATTTTCCCAATCCATAACCCTGAACCTAACCCTAGCGCCTAACCCTAACCCTAACCCATTCAGTCCTATTCAAAATCCTATTTTCCCAATCCATAAACCCTAACCCATTCAGTCCTATTCAAAATCCTATTTTCCCAATCCATAAACTTAACCCTAACCCATTCAGTCCCATTCAAAATCCTATTTTCCCAATCCATAAACCTAACCCTAAACATAACCCTAACCTTAATCATAAACCCTAAACCTAACCCTAGCGCCTAACCCTAACCCATTCAGTCCCATTCAAAATCCTATTTTCCCAATCCACAAACTTAACCCTAACCCATTCAGTCCCATTCAAAATCCTATTTTCCCAATCCATAAACCTAACCCTAAACCTAACCCTAACCCATTCAGTCCCATTCAAAATCCTATTTTCCCAATCCATAAACCTAACCCTAACCCATTCAGTCCCATTCAAAATCCTATTTTCCCAACTCTTAAACCTAACCCTAAACCTAACCCTAGCGTCTAACCCTAACCCATTCAGTCCCATTCAAAATCCTATTTTCCCAATCCATAACCCTAACCATAAACCTAACCCTAGCGCCTAACCCTAACCCATTCAGTCTCATTCAAACACTATTTTCCCAATCCATAAACTTAACCCTAACCCATTCAGTCCCATTCAAATCCTATTTTCCCAACCCAATAAACCATAACCCTAAACCTAACCCTAACCCTAATCCTAACCCATTCAGTCCCATTCAAATCCTATTTTCACAATCCATAAACCTAACCCTAAACCTAACCCTAAACCTAACCCTAGCACCTAACCCTAACCCTAACCCATTCAGTCCCATTCAAAATCCTATTTTCCCAATCCTTAAACCTAACCCTAAACCTAACCCTAGCGCCTAACCCTAAACCTAACCCTAGCACCTAACCCTAACCCATTCAAAATCGTATTTTCCCTATCCATAAACTTAACCCTAAACCTAACCCTAAAACTAACCCTAACGCCTAACCCTAACCCATTCAGTCTCATTCAAAATCCTATTTTCCCAATCCATAAACTTAACCCTAACCCATTCAGTCCCATTCAAAATCATATTTTCCCAATCCATAAACCTAACCCTAAACCTAACCCTAACGCCTAACCCTAACCCATTCAGTCTCATTCAAAATCCTATTTTCCCAATCCATAAACTTAACCCTAACCCATTCAGTCCCATTCAAAATCCTATTTTCCCAATCCATAAACCTAACCCTAAACCTAACCCATTCAGTCCCATTCAAAATCCTATTTTCCCAATCCATAAACCTAACCCTAAACCTAACCCTAACGCCTAACCCTAACCCATTTAGTCCCATTCAAAACCTATTTTCCCAATCACTAAGCCTAACCCTAAACCTAACCCTAGCGCCTAACCCTAACCCTAACCCATTCAGTCCTATTCAAAATCCTATTTTCCCAATCCATGAATCTAAACCTAACCCTAACCCATTCAGTCCCATTCAAAATCCTATTTTCCCAATCCATAAACCTAACCCTAAACCTAACCCTAACCCTAATCCTAACCCATTCAGTCCCATTCAAAATCCTATTTTCACAATCCATAAACCTAACCCTAAACCTAACCCTAAACCTAACCCTAGCACCTAACCCTAACCCTAACCCATTCAGTCCCATTCAAAATCCTATTTTCCCAATCCTTAAACCTAACCCTAGCGTCTAACCCTAACCCTAAACCTAACCCTAGCACCTAACCCTAACCCATTCAAAATCGTATTTTCCCTATCCATAAACTTAACCCTAAACCTAACCCTAGCGCCTAACCCTAAAACTAACCCTAGATCCTAACCCTTGACCTAATTCTAACCCTAATACTAATTCTAACCTTAACACTAAACCCCCTAGAAATAGCAATTGAACTTGTGGGAACCAACAAAATGTCCCCAGTTGGTCAAATGTTTGTTTGTTTACTATGCTTGTGGGGATTTCTGGTCCCCACAAGTATAGTTAAACACGTCCACACACACACACACACACACACACACACACACACACACACACACACACTATGGTAGTAAAAGTTACATGTGTTTGTGTTTCCCCTAGGTCTCCTGGCTAACATCAGTGATGTGACAGACAGAATGGCCTTGTTGAAAAATAACCTCCATAACACCAGCAGACTCATTCCAGAGCCAGCAGTCCTGCTCCATAGCCTGCCCAACGGTGAGTGGTACTGCCAACTGATGCCCCAACAATTGTCCTTTTATGTCTCCTTTCTGCTCCAACACACTCTAGTACTTTCATGATCTCTGCCCTTGTTAAGTCATGAAAACAACATTCGACAACAAGTCAAAAATGCGACATTAAAACCAACAATAACACAACACAGCCTACTTTACAACTGTCTGAGCTATGTTGTTTCTGACTTGAAAAATGTCTGAACAACTGGATGAAAATAGTAGATATCAAGTAATGATTATCACATAAGTCATATATTTAACACTTCATCACACACTCAAAGACACCCTAAACAGTGGGAAAACAGAGAACAGCATGAAATGTGGTACCTCAGTACATCACTGACATTGCCTGTGCTGCCCCCTGTAGGCACCAGTGAGCAGGTGCTGGAGGCCAAGGAGCAGGCTGCCATGGCCAATGCCTCCCTGCAGAGGGCGCTGGAGCGCCTGGAGGAGCTCAGGGTCAGACTGGAGGAGTCCAGCACGGCTGTGGCCCAGGTCAAAACCAGCTTCTCCAACACCAACCAGCTGTTCTCTGACTCACAATCCACTGGTGAGTCTAACACCTCATTCAGACATCCAAATGTGGTTCTAGCTAGATTATAGCTAGCAACTTTGTCATGGAAGTGTTTTCTACAATGTTTTTCACCCTTGCTTCCACCCTTTCCACATTAAAGCTTGAATCCGGAGTTGAAACAATAACAAAGCTAACACCCCGCCTCTATTTTGGTAGAAATCTGAAGGAGGGGCCTTGAGAAAGGTAACCACTGTCAAATTCTATGGATGCAAGGACTGACCATCCATTATAGACAGTGTTTGTTTACATTTATGTTGTTTACAAACATTGGGGTAAAACAAGCTCAAATTTTGGGTTCTGATTGGGTACGACAGTTGAACTAAGCTCATGAGGCATTTGTAAGTTATATTCTTCAAGATTCAATGGGTATTAATCATTCATTTATAAATCCAAAAATGGATGTAGCATCTAAGGACTCTAGCTTTAAACCACACCACATTTGAAGCCAAGTAGTGCCCCAAATACCTGACTAATGTTAGTCAAACGTTATTACCATGTTATCGTGACATATCAATTAGAGGCTAATTTCTAGAGAGATTATGTGACTAACATAGATGAGTAAGATGAGTTTACCATTACTAACCTGTCCTATCTGTTGTCTCTCTTAGCCAGTACAGCTGAGTCTAAGCTGAAGGAGGCAGAGAGTCGTACAGAGAGGCTGTACGACCGTCTCAAACCCCTCAAGACCCTGGGGGAAAACCTGAGCAGAAACCTGTCTGAGATCAGAGAGATGATCAACCGGGCCCGCAAACAGGCTGCCTCGGTTAGTCACTGCTGCTGGACTACACACACACACACACACACACACACACACACACACACACACACACACACACACACACACAGAGAGAGACACACACACACACACATACGTATGTGCACACATAAACACTTGCACACATGCATGTATACACACACACACACACACACACACACACACACACACACACAAAACACACACACACTGTAAATCAGGGATCATCAACTAGATTCAGCCGCGGCCCACAGGCCTTGCTTACATTTGAACGCAATCACACGTGTCTCTCTATTATGCGTGGGAATACTTGGGAACAGATTTCCAAAATTAAAACCACTTGGCACTGATTTCCTGGTGTCCAAATTATTATTTTTTGCTCAGAAAACGTGGGGTAGCCAAATAAAACCACCCGTGGGCTAAATTCGGCCCGCGGGCCGCCAGTTTGGGAACCCTGCTGTACATGGGACCCTGCTGTACATGGGACCCTGCTGTACATGGACCAACACACTCTGTCCTCAACTGACATACTGATATTGTCCTTTTCTCGCCTGTACAGATCAAGGTGTCAGTGCTGGCAGACAAAGACTGTGTGAGGGCCTACAAGCCTGAGATGTCCTCCAGTAACTTCAACACTCTAACCATGACCGTCAAGACCAGCGAGCCTGACAACCTGCTCTTCTATATGGGCAGCAGCTCCAGCGTAAGTCACATACTGATTCCCCTCTATAGTACCTCATAATGATTACCTATAAATCAGTTTGAAACTAAAGTCTATATAATCTACATTCAACCAGATAGTTATAAATCCTCTATAAACCATCTATAAACTATCCTTTACAAACCCTTTATAATGTACTTCAATGTTACCACTATAACTACATGTCTATATGACATGTGTCAAGTAAAAAACTTTACGATGTACAGTGGGGAAAAAAAGTATTTAGTCAGAAACCAATTGTGCAAGTTCTCCCACTTAAAAAGATGAGAGAGGCCTGTAATTTTCATCATAGGTACACGTCAACTATGACAGACAAATTGAGAAAAAAAAATCCAGAAAATCACATTGTAGGATTTTTTATGAATTTATTTGCAAATTATGGTGGAAAATAAGTATTTGGTCACCTACAAACAAGCAAGATTTCTGGCTCTCACAGACCTGTAACTTCTTCTTTAAGAGGCTCCTCTGTCCTCCACTCGTTACCTGTATTAATGGCACTTGTTTGAACTTGTTATCAGTATAAAAGACACCTGTCCACAACCTCAAACAGTCACACTCCAAACTCCACTATGGCCAAGACCAAAGAGCTGTCAAAGGACACCAGAAACAAAATTGTAGACCTGCACCAGGCTGGGAATACTGAATCTGCAATAGGTAAGCAGCTTGGTTTGAAGAAATCAACTGTGGGAGCAATTATTAGGAAATGGAAGACATACAAGACCACTGATAATCTCCCTCGATCTGGGGCTCCACGCAAGATCTCACCCCGTGGGGTCAAATTGATCACAAGAACGGTGAGCAAAAATCCCAGAACCACACGGGGGGACCTAGTGAATGACCTGCAGAGAGCTGGGACCAAAGTAACAAAGCCTACCATCAGTAACACACTACGCCGCCAGGGACTCAAATCCTGCAGTGCAAGACGTGTCCCCCTGCTTAAGCCAGTACATGTCCAGGCCCGTCTGAAGTTTGCTAGAGTGCATTTGGATGATCCAGAAGAGGATTGTGAGAATGTCATATGGTCAGATGAAACCAAAATATAACTTTTTGGTAAAAACTCAACTCGTCGTGTTTGGAGGACAAAGAATGCTGAGTTGCATCCAAAGAACACCATACCTACTGTGAAGCATGGGGGTGGAAACATCATGCTTTGGGGCTGTTTTTCTGCAAAGGGACCAGGACGACTGATCCGTGTAAAGGAAAGAATGAATGGGGCCATGTATCGTGAGATTTTGAGTGAAAACCTCCTTCCATCAGCAAGGGCATTGAAGATGAAACGTGGCTGGGTCTTTCAGCATGACAATGATCCCAAACACACCGCCCGGGCAACGAAGGAGTGGCTTCGTAAGAAGCATTTCAAGGTCCTGGAGTGGCCTAGCCAGTCTACAGATCTCAACCCCATAGAAAATCTTTGGAGGGAGTTGAAAGTCCGTGTTGCCCAGCGACAGCCCCAAAACATCACTGCTCTAGAGGAGATCTGCATGGAGGAATGGGCCAAAATACCAGCAACAGTGTGTGAAAACCTTGTGAAGACTTACAGAAAACGTTTGACCTGTGTCATTGCCAACAAAGGGTATATAACAAAGTATTGACAAAACTTTTGTTATTGACCAAATACTTATTTTCCACCATAATTTGCAAATAAATTCATTAAAAATCCTATAATGTGATTTTCTGGATTTTTTTTTCTCATTTTGTCTTTCATAGTTGACGTGTACCTATGATGAAAATTACAGGCCTCTCTCATCTTTTTAAGTGGGAGAACTTGCACAATTGGTGGCTGACTAAATACTTTTTTGCCCCACTGTATATCAGGTGGACTTCATGGCGGTAGAGATGCGTCATGGCAAGGTGGCGTTCTTGTGGGATGTGGGTTCAGGCCACGCCAAGCTGGAGTACCCCGATGTCCAGATCAACAACAACAAGTGGCACCACATCAATGCCACGCGCTTTGGGAAGCACGGCTCACTGTCAGTCCACCAGCTGGAGTCAGACCCCCTGCCCGTGGTGAAGACCGCCTCACCTGGCTCCGCTACGGTCCTGGATGTCAACAAGTTTACCCTGATATTTGTTGGCGGCCTGGGAGGCCAGATCAAGGTACAGTCAGACCCGGCTGGGTCTTTTTTACTCAGGCATATTTCTAGCCACCCGCTTGGGTCCTTGAGAGCTTGAACAGGTTCAATTGAAGTTACGTCCATAGCCGCGGGAAAAATCACAATAAACAAATATTAATGTTTATTTTTATTTTTATTTTTAAGTGCACTGGGCCTTTACTAGTTCTGTATTAGTGGACCAATATAGACCGACATAGCCCCCTCTCAACAAAACATCTCAGCACCCCCACCCCCAAACATCTTCCCACACCTATGGTTACGTCAACAACACGTACCATTTTGTATTCTCCACCAATAAAACTGTGTTTAAAAAACATTTAAGTGGCTTGACACACAATTACAAAGGACATGCAAAGAACTGAGATAATCTAAAACAATTTACTCAATCTCTTTTGCACAGAAGTCCTCAGCGGTGAAGATGACCCAGTTCAAGGGCTGTATGGGGGAGGCGTCGCTCAACGAGAAGAACATCGGGCTGTGGAACTACGCTGAGAGGGAGGGCCAGTGTCGCGGCTGCTTCCTGAGTCCGCAGACAGAGGAGACGTCCTTCCACTTTGATGGCAGTGGCTACTCAGTGGTAGAGAAACCCCTCCGCTCCACCTCCACTTCCATCGTACTGCTGTTCAAGACCCTCTCCCCCAACGGCCTGCTGCTCTACCTGGCCTCCAACAGCACGGTACTCCCCCTACTGGCCCACACACACTACAACCACACTGAACAGTCTGTTTTTGTTGTCTAGATATACATAGAGGAAAGCTATCGTTCTCTGCTGTGGCAAATCAAATTACCCTCTGGGGACAGTAAAGATTGACTGATGTGTTTATTTATCATTTCAGAGGGACTTCCTGTCCATTGAGCTGGTGGAGGGCCAAGTGCGCCTGGCGTTTGAACTTGGCTCTGGTCCTCTGACCCTCTCCTCCAACAAAGCCTACAACACTGGCAGCTGGTACAAGATCACCCTGCAGAGGAACAAACGCAAAGGTCTTAGGTCATAGGTTATAGGCTCATAGTTAGTTATATAGGGTATAGTCAGATTATTTCCCCCTGGCACTTTATTGACACACTGTGTATACCCCATATTGTTTTGTATTAGTTGCCCTTGTATAATGCCTATAGTATGTATGTAACGCAGACCTGGGTTCAAATACTATTTCAAATATCTCAATTACTTTCACATACATTCAAAGTAAGTATTCAGATATATTTTATTTGAAAAGAAAAGTAGTTGAATATTTTAATGTATTTGGAAATACACGTGGAAAGTATTAAAAAAATTCCTCAAATACACTCCCATGCATTTAACCCAGGTATTTGAAAATAATATATGAAATAAGTATTTGAAAATACTCTCAAATACAATTTGGTGGAATAATTTGTTTTTACAAATAACGATTCAAATACTCAAGTAAAAGCACTTGTTTTGGGCGCGGCTGTGTATTTGAAAATACTCAAATACACAGAAAAAAAGTATTTAAAATAAGCAGGTACTTAAATAGACCTGTATTTGAACCCAGGTCTGATGTAAAGTACTCTGTCATGTTTCTTTCTATCCTCCCAGCCTATATGTCGGTGATGGCTGCAGACAACTCATCAGTGAAAGAGGTCATGGAGGCGGAGTCTCCTGGGACCGCCTCCGACCTCAACCGCGCCGACCTGGACCCAATCTACATTGGGGGACTGCCCATGTCTCGACCTATCAGGTGCTGGAACTACTTTGGCACATACATCACCTACCTGCAAAATACTCTCCTAGTTGATATGCAATTGTATTGTTGTGATTAATATATTTTTGGTGTAGCTTCTTAAGGTTACTGTATGCTTCCCAGTCGAAACAGTTTGCACATATGTTATGATTAAATTTAGTGAAGTTTTTGTTCATTTTGGTGTTGGGTAGCATTCAGCAGTGGATTTTTCGGCTGTTCGAGCACCCAATTCTTTTTCTTGAGGCTTGTCGAAGTTCAGTAGCCGAAGTCTACGCCCCTTCGTTGGTGATTGGTCAACAGTGGGATTCTTCAGTAAAGTGTTTGTTGTCATTCAACGACAAATTACTTGTTTTCATGCATATTTTTTCACATGAGAAATACTGCACCAAACATCTTAGTTAGATGCAAGACCTCGGCAAAAACATCAAAATGAATTAAACATTTCTTGAGTTAAATTATATTAATTCAGACTATTTTGAGGAAGTGTACTTGTTGCTACGGCGTCTCAAGAAGGACAAACAGTAATATTGCCGCTTTTAAGGGAGTATGTGAAGCATAGACGTTCACTTTGCCTAGCCGAGTCCTGCTAGGAGCAAACCTAGTATGCGGACACCTTTAGCCTACTGCATAATGTCAATATTGAGCTTAGTGTTTGAGTTGTTGTGATTATTATTATTATATCTATTTTTTTACATTAAGTAAAATAAACAAAAGGTCAATTGTGAATTGAATTCTCTTTGCAGGAGACAAGTAGTAGCACGGTCCTATGTGGGCTGCATCAAAAACATGGAGATTGCCCGCTCCAACTTTGACCTTCTCCGAGACTCCTATGGGGTCAAGAAAGGTTGTGTGTTAGAGGTAAGAAAAGCTGTGTGTTAGAGGTAAGAAAGGTTGTGTGTTAGAGGTAAGAAAGGTTGTGTGTTAGAGGTAAGAGAGGCTGTGTGTTAGAGGTAAGAAAGGTTGTGTGTTAGAGGTAAGAAAGGTTGTCTGTTAGAGGTAAGAGAGGCTGTGTGTTAGAGGTAAGAAAGGTTGTGTGTCAGAGGTAGGAAAGGTTGTGTGTCAGAGGTAAGAAAGGTTGTGTCAGAGGTAAGAAAGGTTGTGTCAGAGGTAAGAAAGGTTGTGTTAGAGGTAAGAAAGGCTGTGTTAGAGATAGGAAAGGATGTGTGTTAGAGGTAAGAAAGGCTGTGTTAGAGGTAAGAAAGGTTGTGTTAGATAAGGAAAGGTTGTGTGTTAGAGGTAAGAAAGGTTGTGTTAGATAAGGAAAGGTTGTGTGTTAGAGGTAAGAAAGGTTGTGTTAGATAAGGAAAGGTTGTGTGTCAGAGGTAAGAAAGGTTGTGTTAGATAAGGAAAGGCTGTGTGTTAGAGGTAAGAAAGGATGTGTTAGATAAGGAAAGGTTGTGTGTTAGAGGTAAGAAATATTGTGTTAGATAAGGAAAGGTTGTGTTAGAGGTAAGAAAGGTTGTGTTAGATAAGGAAAGGCTGTGTGTTAGAGGTAAGAAAGGTTATGTTAGAGGTAAGAAATGTTGTGTTAGATAAGGAAAGGCTGTGTGTTAGAGGTAAGAAAGGTTGTGTTAGATAAGGAAAGGTTGTGTTAGATAAGGAAAGGTTGTGTTAGATAAGGAAAGGTTGTGTTAGATAAGGAAAGGCTGTGTGTCAGAGGTAAGAGAACTGAAAGTAAAGAACCTTCATCTATTTATTTCTTCCTCTCTAAACAAATTAAAGGTAGACTCAGCGTTATTGGGAATAGTGAATAGTGACAGTCGTGGCATTTGATTTTTGCTGTTGTTGATTTCTGTAAAGATGAAGGTGCCCAGCAGTACATGATGATGTCATATTGTTGCACAGAATGGAAAAATACTTCCCATATTCCCTATGAGTAACTTGTGTGGTGTGTGTCTGTTCCAGCCCATCCGCAGTGTGTCTGTACTGAGAGAGGGCTATGTGGAGCTGCCATCAATGTCTCTTGGCTCCCAGGGGGAGCTGCTGGCCTCCTTCTCCACCCGCAACCACACTGGCATCATCCTGGCAGGCTTCAGCAAGGCAGGCACCCGCAAACGCAGACAGGCACGCCAGGTAAGTGTGTATCAGTGGAGGCTGGTGGGGGGAGCTATAGGAGGACGGGCTCATTGTAATGGAATGGAATTAATGGAACGGAGTCAAACACGTGGTTTCCATGGTTTCCATGTGTTTGATGGGTTTGATACCGTTCCATTCATTCCATTCCAATCATTACATGTTTTCAACACAGCAGGAGTTAAGAGAGCTTTCTGGTGACCATAGCATGATTTAGTTGGAGTTACATGAGTATGTCACTACTATCTTCGACTTCTCTAACCAAGAAAATGACTTAAGGTTAGACCGTATATTGACAGTCTTCTCTGGGTTTCCATCCAGCCCTTCCTGGCGGTCATGCTGGTGTCGGGGCGCTTGGAGGTTCACATCAACATGGGGGAGGGCGGGAGCGTCCACAAGGTTGTGGTCAAATCACGCTCTGGGAGCTTCAGTGACGGACAGGAGCACTCTGTCATCCTACAGAGGAACAGGAAGTAAGTGGCACCAGGAAGAGGGACTAATTAAGCTGTAACATATATGATGATTTTATGCTGTTGGATGGTTCAGTCATTATAAATGATAAGTCATTTGAAATGATACTCCAGCACAAAGGATTACCTCTGCACGTGGCATTTATTGTCTTGTATGTGTCCTTATTCAATACATTTTTATGCTGATGTTATACATAGGCCTACACATAGTTGATAAAAGGATGGATATATAACAATCAATTGCCATGGGATTAAAGTAACTTTGAAATGGCCATTGAACAGCAGTAAATATTGCAGATTGTACCTTTAAGAATAATATTTTCCAGTGTGGAATAATATACAGGAAGTCTATTCCAAGGGGAATAGCACTGCAGAGTTATTACTGACACGGAGTCCTCTGTGTGTGTCTCATCCATCCAGGACGATGATGGTACTAGTGGATGAGGACCACCAGGGGACGGTGCGTCTGTCCTCGGAGAAGGCTTCTCTGACCCTCACCTCTCTGTACATGGGCGGCCTCCCGCCAGAAGAGGGCGCCGGACTGCTGCGAACCACCTCCTCCTTCTACGGCTGCATCAGGAACCTGGCCCTGGATGCCAAGTGAGTCACGCCCAATACACTATGAAACCATGTTTAGTCCAATTAATTTCAGAATCCTAGGCCCTGTCAAAGTGTTGAAGGCAATGTTAACTAAATGGTGTTGTGGTTTGCTTATGTATTTTGACTTGAAAGACACTTTTGAGTTGTTGCGGCATAATTAGTTATTATGTTCTATAGCTAGATATGATCACACATTATCTTGCTATAGAATACAATAGTAGGTAGCTTGAATAACTTTATTTTTCCCACAGGAAACTTCGGTGTGTTTGTCTCGCTATTACATTTAATGTCATTGCCATGGTACCTGTCAGGAGATGGATGGTATCCATAGTAACCCAAGGCTCTGACCAGGGTTGTGCTGTGTCCCGATAGGTTGTTGGACCTGTCAGCTGCAGTGAAGTACCACAACGTGGACATGGACAGCTGTCTATTGGAGGAGAGGACAAAGAGGGTCCTCCTACCTGATGACACTGACCTGGGGGCCGAGCCCACCCTGGACGCCGCCAGACCCCCTCCACCACCCCCCACCCAGCTCAGCGCTCTCACCCCCGGCACACTCACGGTAACACCCACTAAAATAGACACACACACACACAGATCATCTTATTATTAGGATAAACAGTAGCTCTTTCACCTTCCAACAGGTCAGCCTGTCTTCATAGATAGTTCCTTATCTTTTCCTTCATCGGTCATTGGTCCCTCTGTGTGTCTCCAGTGTGCATCGATGGACAACACCACATCCATCCCAGAGGCCCATCAGTTTGGCATCTCCAGACACAGTCACATGGTCCTCAGCATCAACCCCAACACAGTGAGGAGGAGGTCAGTACTGAGACCTGCCTCATTGAACTACCGTCTCCCTTCATCAACATATCACAACTTACAGTATCGTTTTTTTTCACATAGAGATCATATCCTATGTTATATCTATGATTGTCACAATTCTATATTCAAATCTTTATTAGGGATTCACACGTCTATGGTGCTATAGGCCTAAATAGTGTTGTATCTAATTTTAGACATTTTAGCCTTGATATCAGTTGGCCCATAGCTACACGTGTAAAACAGGGTCAAGCCAACATTCCAGTACATTGAAGTGGCGTAGGAATGTAACATCCAGTATAGTGCATGGCAAAAATCACTCTTAAGGCCATAATCGTTGATTGCTTTTCTCTGAGCCTGAGTGCATACTGTCTCTCTTCATTAAAAAGAGGAATTATAATAGCCGTCCCAGTAAGTATCTATAATGAAGTATCTATAATTCACGAGGCACTGCTTGGAAATGAACAGAGCTAATGTTACACATCATTCCCATTGACTTAGCAAGAACTCTTCTCAAGTGTTCCACTGTAGCCTACATTATGTGCGATTGAGAGGAAGGCACAGTTCAATTATCCTGGTCCCAGATCTATAGAAGGCTATAGAAGGAGACAACAGATCTGGGACCAGTCTATAGAAGGAGACAACAGATCTGGGAACAGGCTATAGAAGGAGACAACAGATCTGGGAACAGGCTATAGAAGGAGACAACAGATCTGGGACCAGGCTAAGTTTTTGGTTGGTGGGTGTATTCATCAATATAGGATTATTATGAGATAGTCACACCGATACAAATTGTCATATCCACTTCGTCATTGCCTATATAGAGGTCTAACAAACCATTAACAAAGATCTTTATCTTACAGTAAATCATGGCTAACTCCAAACAGCCTTGTCGATGGCTGAAACGCTTCATATGTCTTCTCGCTTCTCTCCCTGACAGTTTCTCTCTGGAGCTGTCTGTGCGTACCTTTGCCCAGAGTGGTTTGCTCTACTACATGGCCCACGCCAACCAGATGGACTACGCCACTCTGCAGCTGTTGGGGGGTCATCTGTTCTTCACCTGTGATAAGGGCAGCGGCCCCGCCACCGCCTCCTTCCCTGTGCCGGTCAACGACGGCCAGTGGCACACAGTTAGTGACCACACCCTTCTGAGCCAAAAGTGATAGTAGATTGCGGTGTTTGTTCGGGTCAATTGCATTTTGGTCGATTCAGGGGATACATAACAAAATTGTGACAATTCAAGTTAGTTTCAAATCATAACTGAAAGCAGTGATATTACCATGTAGGTTGTCAGGACTCGACTCTCCCTAACCCTGTAACGTGTGTGTGCCTCTGTGTGCAGGTGAAGACAGACTTCAATAAGAAGAGTGTGGTGATCAGGGTAGACGGCCAGGCGTCAGCTCCAGTGCTGGCTAAAGGCAACACTCTGGATGTGGAGAACAAGCTGTACCTGGGAGGACTGCCTCACACCTACACCGCCAAGAAGATAGGCAACGTATGTCACACTACACTACACCAATACTCTCTATTCATGCTGAAATATCGTTTTCAGATCATTGTTTCTGTCTTGAAAGCAGGTGGTACATTTTCTGCCGAGTAAATGTTTATCCATAACCCCAAATGTGAATATTTACATTTCCTCATCCAGGTGACTCAAAGCTTGGCTGGCTGCATCCAGAAGGTGATTCTGAACAGTGTTAAGCTGGACACCCAGAGTCCAGTGTCCGAACACTCTACTGCTCAGTGCTTCACTACAGCCCAGGACGGGACCTTCTTCAATGGGAGCGGATATGCTGCTCTGAGTGAGTCTACCACCATTATATCAATTAACAGGCGCGCCTTCTTAAAAGTTAATTTGTGGAATTTCTTTCCTTCTTAATGCGTTTGAGCCAATCAGTTGTGTTGTGACAAGGTAGGGTGGGTATACAGAAGATAGCCCTATTTGGTAAAAGACCAAGTCCATATTATGGCAAGAACTGCTCAAATAAGCAAAGAGAAACGACAGTCCATCATTACTTTATGACATGAAGGTCAGTCAATACGGTACATTTCAAGAACACGTTTCTTCAAGTGCAGTCGCAAAAACCATCAAGCGCTATGATGAAACTGGCTCTCATGAGGACCACCACCACAGGAATGGAAGACCCACAGTTACCGCTGTTGCAGATGATAAGTTCATTAGAGTTACCAGCCTCAGAAATTGCAGCTCAAATAAATGCTTCACAGAGTTCAAGTCACAGACACATCTCAACATCAACTGTTCAGACGGGACTGTGTGAATCAGGCCTTCATGGTCAAATTGCTGCAAAGAAACCACTACTAAAGGACACCAATAATAAGAAGAGACCTGCTTGGGCCAAGAAACACGAGCAATGGACCGGTGGAAATGTGTCCTTTGGTCTGGAGTCCATATTGGAGATTTTTGGTTCCAACCGCCGTGTCTTGTGAGACGCGGTGTGGGTGAACAGATGATCTCCACATGTGTAGTTCCCACCGTAAAGCATGGCGGAGGAAGTGTTATAGTGTGGGGGTGCTTTGCTGGTGATGCTGTCTGTGATTTATTTCGAATTCAAGGCACACATAACCAGCATGGCTACCACTGCATTCTGCAGCAATACGCCATCCCATCTGGGTTGGGCTTAGTGGGACTATAATTTGTTTTTCAACAGGACAATGACCCAACACACCTCCAGGCTGTGTAAGAGCTATTTTACCAAGAAGGAGAGTGATGGAGTGCTGCATCAGATGACCTGGCCTCCACAATCCCCCGACCTCAACCCAATTGAGATGGTTTGGGATGAGTCGGACCGCAGAGTTAAGGAAAAGCAGCCAACATGTGCTAAGCATATGTGGGAACTCCTTCAAAACTGTTGGAAAAGCATTCCAGGTGAAGCTGGTTGAGAGAATGCCAACAGTGTGCAAAGCTGTTTAACCATTTTTTGGTTACTACAAGATTCCATGTGTTATTTCATAGTTTTGATGTCTTCACTATTATTCTATGAGTAGTTTGTGTCCAAGCTTTTGACTGGTACTGTACATACACTTGACATGTTTTATAACACGTGTGTAAGTGCCTACGTGTGCCTTGACTGTATGACATAGTGTTCTAAACTGGTTTGTCCCTTGCAGTGAAAGATGGGTACAAGGTGGGCTCAGACGTGATGGTGGCGCTGGAGTTCCGCAGCACGGTGCCTGATGGTGTCCTCCTGGGGGTCAGCAGCGCCAAGGTGGACGCCATTGGCCTGGAGCTGGCCAGCGGACAGGCCATGTTCCACGTGAACAACGGCGCCGGGCGGGTGTCAGCCACGTCGCGGCTGGGCCGGTGGCTCTGTGACGGCCGCTGGCACACCCTGCTGGCCAAGAAGACCAAGAATGCTCTGAGTCTGAGCGTGGACGGGGTCACGGTGCTCACCGACAACCCCTACCCACAGTCAACCTCGGCCGAGACCAAGGACCCGGTCTACGTGGGAGGCTTCCCTGGTATGCCCCCCTCTAGAAGAAAACCTTCAGTCTCTGTCCAGAAACAACCCCTAGCCCCTAAAAGCTAGAAACTTCACTGGACTGGGCCTTTGTCACCACTTTGCTTTGATGTTGATCATTTTCAGTGTCAAGTAAATTAATTTGTTAGCACCAATATATTGACTTCTCTCTCTTTTACAGTCGGAGTGAAACAGAACTGCCTGACTTCCAGATCGCCATTCCGTGGTTGTATGCGTAACATCCGCCTGATCAAGGGCCACGTGACCGACGTCCTGGACTTCAGTACTGCATTCACCCTCCAAGGAGTGTCACCGCACTCCTGCCCCGCCGCATGACCTTACCACAACCATGCTAAACCATTCCATATCTAATGCTATGACCCTAGAAAAAAAGTGACCTATGAAATTACTTCCTTATGTTTTTGTTGATGTGATTCTGGAAAGTGTGTACTTTTGTGCATTTTGACTCCCCCAGATGAATTGAACAGTAGAATGTCTGTATGTGATGTTCTAGAAAAGTAATATTTGTTAATAAAATAAGTAAGCTGTCTGTCAGTGCAGTAGTTTTAAGTCTAGACGTGACATACCTGATCTGTTGGCTCCAGTACAGGGCTACCCACGTATTAAGCAGTACATACCACATCTATCAAAGCTGCTTCCAAAGCCTTCATTCTTTTGATATGATCTGTTTTATGTCATGACTGTCTGCATATTTTCCCAGGAGTACTAATAAGAAGAATGTTTGAATCTAGTTTTATGCTATTTCTGAGGAGAAACTGAACTGAAAAAAAATGTGTACATTGTTCACAACACAGCTCAGGCAAGATATGATTCTGAGGTGAGAAGGAGAAAGAAATGTTTTACTTTACGTTATATTCAGTTGTTACTGTGTCAGTGATACATTGTGCAACTTGGCCTAAACTGTCGGCAGTGGTCAAATAATAATATTAAAAAGAAAGCAAAAAAATAAAAAATAAAAATAAAAAAGTGCAAACTTCAGTATTCTATATTCAGACAATACAACCATATTAAGTCTCTATGGTACAAAAATAATCCTTCACAGAATTATTTTTTACACAATGGTTTTGGAAGGATAAATTAAATAATCCTGAGCAAAGTCATGTTGAACATTAAAAAAGACCTTTTCGTGTCTTGTCAATGCATTTGCTACAAGGTTCATTTGGGAACACAGAATACTTATGTAACAACAGAAAGGCTGACAACCATGGCACAGGCAAAACACTGAACTTCAGTAACACCACAGCATAGAAGTAGAGAGAGGTTGGCTGGGCTAATACATACAGTATATGACCTGCACGTAAAACATTATTCACAAGTTCAAACACTGCGTGCAGGCTAAGCCTAGCCTGGTTAAACCAGACTGAACACTGCGCTTACTGTGGTTTGAAATGAAACTACAGTGAAACGTAGGGAAATCAGTTTGGAAGCCAGGCTAGGCAAACACTGCTGGACGTTCCACGAAGAGAGCCTTTTGCGTCCCTTTAATATGTTAAGTAGGAATCGTGCAACAATAATGCATTTTAAAACCCTGTTATATTAAATGAAGTGCCCTTTAATATACACCACATGGAGAATCCAATAAATATTTTAATAGTGCCAAAATTCTGCATTTTGATATGTCCCTCTATGGAGCTGTCCTGTGACTTCTAGAAAGATTTTAACCCCCCTTAACCCCAAAATGTCTCCAAGTTTTCACCATCATTGTAAAGCCCTAGTTATTTTGTTGCTTTGACAAAGTCATTCCTGAAGATGATTATTTATTTAATGTGATTAGTGATTAATTTACATCTGTCCCCTCATTTTAAAGGTCAACCCTGTTACGTGAACTGAACTCTCGTTTTAATATGGTGAAATTATTGATTTTTAAATGTATTTTTCAAAAGAAACATTGAACATTTACTAGTCAAACCATAGTGTAAAAGCAGGTGAGCTGGTTCTACTCTTTTTGACCCTGTTCTGGTGTTCTGTGGTGGAAAAGTGAGAGGGGTCAAACATAATTGTTTTAACAATAAAAAAATGTGTGAAGCTTACTTTCAATTGCACCTCCCTGTTGCACACAACACACTTCCATTCCCCCAGTCACAGAGGGATTTATGGCTGTTTTAAGATTAAATCAACCCTGTTACAGTCAACCTTGTTACTTTATTTGGCACTTAATAGGAACTTACTATAGTATTGTTATACATTTTTTGATGGCAAAACTGTTTTTTAAAATTAAGTTTAACATGTGCTCTTTATGACAATGTTAAAATTTGGTGAAATCAAACGTCTTTTTGGACTAACTTACACTTCTCAAAAGGCACCAAATTGGTGGAACGACCCAGAACAAAGTGAAGAGAGGTTGGTTGGGCTAAGACATACATACATACATACATACATACATACATACATACATACCCTGCAAGTAAACATTATTCACAAGTTCAAACACTGTAAGCAGGCCAAGACTAGTTTGGTTAAACCAGTTTGGAAGCATGTCAGGCTAACTGCTATGAAGCTCCTTTTTTATGGCCTTTTCTCCTCTCCTTCATTACAGGAAGTATTGTAAGAACTCTCCAGGCAAAGTCAGTTCAGGTCATTAGTAATGAAGGTACCTTATGTTGACTAGACACACAGGATTGGTTGAGAGTGTTAAGTCATACTTTAGTGTAGTGTGTACATGGTTTTCTACAAGTCACCTTTACAGTCCATTGGGGACTGTTGTATTAGGAGGGAGATATTTAAGTGTTCAACATGCAAACCCAAAAAGCAGAGAAGGCGGGTTTGACAATGGTCTGAATCCTTGGTCAAAGTTCTGATGTGGGGCTGTGTCTCAATACTCTACCACAGCTTCCTCTCCTCCTCACCTTTCCTTCATGACCACTGACAGGTGAAAGGACTGGATAGGCTTCCACAATGTTGTTATCACCTGCCTTGTCCTGATCAGATCAGTGCTACACCAGATCAGTGGTCAGCAGAGGACAGGAGACCATGAAAGGAAGTTGTTACAACATTTGAGACGGAGACAACGTCTGTATTCAGTATCAGGTCATCCCATCTCCACTTGTTCCTTCCCATCATGCACTCAACAACCCAAATTGCTAGTCTTCTGAATCTCCTCACTCCCAATGGTTTTGCAATCAACATACTGCAATTATAAATGATACAAAAGTTACATGTAGTATGTGTGATAATACTAAAAGCAAGATACATTTGTGGTATAAATATAGCAAGTACGTGTTAACTGGGTCTTGCATGGCCTCTGTAGTGGGTGAACCTCGCTGCGCACATATTTGGCATCAAACAATTCCAATGTCCAGAAATGGTATGTCGTGTCTTCACAAAGCTGTCCCTCCTCCAAATACTTCCATACAGAACCCAGATATTCAGAGTACAGTGGTTCCGTCCTTTTTAGTATTTTGTTAAAAGGTTTCATCCCACAAACAGGACCATCTTTCCTTCAGGAGGAGACCATCTCTCCATAGTTCCTCTTTAAGTGCTGTCTCTCTCTTTTTAGTGGTCTGTAGTTGGGGCTGAAACCTCAATTCAACCAGGGCTCCATGCATGGTCAGTTCACCAGGACGACCTCAAGAGAGCAGTGGTTCAGTCTGCTTGCGCTCTGTGTTGAGTGAGTGATTCCTCAGTTCTCATGTGGTTGTGGGTTTTAAGACCCATTCGCAGTGCGGATTCACGTGGTACACGTCTAGAAGGTGAGTCTCGGGGTCCAAGTTGCGCTCACCTAGAGGAGAGAGAAGTCTTGTTCAGTTCGATAAAAGAAGACAGACAAATCAGAATCTGTGTTTGAAAGAGTCAAACAGTGATTTAAATCATACGTACCTATGTTTCCTCCGACCTCAAACAAATACTGCCTTGGCTTCCGGCTAGTGCTTCTGGTGCCACGACTGCGAGAGAAACGAGAATGATTTTAATAAACCCAGACATCTGTATAGTATGCATTAGCAAAGTCAACAGAGGCACGGTCTGGGACAGAAAATAGTCATCATCATCATCATCCTCCACTGACCCGTTCTCGTAGTCGAAGCGCGCCATCACGTCTTTGGCCTTGGTCTCGTTGTCCAGCTGGATCGCCATGGAGATCTTGGCGTGTAGTGGAGCGTGAACCCTGATGACCCCTTGTCGGAGGTCAGTGAGCTGTGGACCAAGATAAGACCCAACTTCAAGTCCCATTACGTGACTGAACCTCATGCTGAAAGGTACTAGCGACCTCTTCCAATTAATTTCTGTCAGGAGCAAACATACATCCAATAACCTATGGTATTGTTGTCTAGTCAAACTAACGTTGAGAATAAATCGAATTGTTTTTGGGTTAAAGTACTTTACAGTCAGTAATCATTACCTCACTCCTCTCAGTCTTCTCTCGCTCAGAGTTCTTCCTCCTCATTAGTAGCAGCTTCCTCTTGGTCTTCTCTGAGCTGGGCGGCTTCTTGCTGGCACCAGCCTCGTTTAACTTCCTCACGTGGGAGATCAGAAAGCAGGGCACCTGAGGAGAGAACAATAGACCTATTAATTCCCTCTCTCCCTCCCTGCCCAGAGGCTTAAGGGTTGGGGCTATATGCATTCTAATAGGCCAGGCACCATTCACCTGATTTGGGTCAAGCTGCTCTTTGCCTCTTTGCATTTCATACAAAGTGCCTGGATCACTTCCCGTGAGGGGTTTTGAGACAGGCTAAATGAACCTATTTGGCATTAAAAACTGATTTCCAGTAAAATAACGGTGAGTGTAGTATTCCGTAGGATTTAACCAGGCTACTAGCTTACAGGGAAACATATATATTTTTATATATATATACACTGCTCAAAGAAATAAAGGGAACACTTAAACAACACAATGTAACTACAAGTCAAATCACACTTCTGTGAAATCAAACTGTCCACTTAGGAAGCAACACTGATTGACAATATATTTCACATGCTGTTGTGCAAATGGAATAGACAACAGGTGGAAATTATAGGCAATTAGCAAGACACCCCCAATAAAGGACTGGTTTTGCAGGTGGTGACCACAGACCACTTCTCAGTTCCTATGCTTCCTGGCTGATGTTTTGGTCACTTTTGAATGCTGGCGGTGCTTTCACTCTAGTGGTAGCATGAGCCGGAGTCTACAACCCACACAAGTGGCTCAGGTAGTGCAGCTCATCCAGGATGGCACATCAATGCGAGCTGTGGCAAGAAGGTTTGCTGTGTCTGTCAGCGTAGTGTCCAGAGCATGGAGGCGCTACCAGGAGACAGGCCAGTACATCAGGAGACGTGGAGGAGGCCGTAGGAGGGCAACAACCCAGCAGCAGGACTGCTACCTCCGCCTTTGTGCAAGGAGGAGCAGGAGGAGCACTGCCAGAGCCCTGCAAAATGACCTCCAGCAGGCCACAAATGTGCATGCGTCTGCTCAAACGGTCAGAAACAGACTCCATGAGGGTGGTATGAGGGCCCGACGTCCACAGGTGGGGGTTGTGCTTACAGCCCAACACCGTGCAGGACGTTTGGCATTTGCCAGAGAACACCAAGATTGGCAAATTCGCCACTGGTGCCCTGTGCTCTTCACAGATGAAAGCAGGTTCACACTGAGCACACGTGACAGAGTCTGGAGACGCCGTGGAGAACGTTCTGCTGCCTGCAACATCCTCCAGCATGACCGGTTTGGCGGTGGGTCAGTCATGGTGTGGGGTGGCATTTCTTTGGGGGGCCGCACAGCCCTCCATGTGCTCGCCAGAGGTAGCCTGACTGCCATTAGGTACCGAGATGAGATCCTCAGACCCCTTGTGAGACCATTTGCTGGTGCGGTTGGCCCTGGGTTCCTCCTAATGCAAGACAATGCTAGACCTCATGTGGCTGGAGTGTGTTAGCAGTTCCTGCAAGAGGAAGGCATTGATGCTATGGACTGGCCCGCCCGTTCCCTAGACCTGAATCCAATTGAGCACATTTGGGACATCATGTCTCGCTCCATCCACCAACGCCACGTTGCACCACAGACTGTCCAGGAGTTGGCGGATGCTTTAGTCCAGGTCTGGGAGGAGATCCCTCAGGAGACCATCCGCCACCTCATCAGGAGCATGCCCAGGCGATGTAGGGAGGTCATACAGGCACGTGGAGGCCACACACACTACTGAGCCTCATTTTGACTTGTTTTAAGGACATTACATCAAACAAAGGACATTACATCAAAGTTGGATCAGCCTGTAGTGTGGTTTTCCACTTTAATTTTGAGGGTGACTCCAAATCCAGACCTCCATGGGTTGATACATTTGATTTCCATTGATAATTTTTGTGTGATTTTGTTGACAGCACATTCAACTATGTAAAGAAAAAAAGTATTTAATAAGATTATTTCATTCATTCAGATCTAGGATGTGTTATTTTAGTGTTCCCTTTATTTTTTTGAGCAGTGTACATTTATTGAAAGTGTGCAAAATTACAGAGGTTGTACTGGAAGTCTTAAAATTGTAGATGCTATAATGGAACAGTTTAGATGTAATTTATCAACAAGTAATTTGAAAATGTACAGTCCTAGTAGAATAACGCCCTATACTTTGACGCGCTATGTTGAGGGAGTGTGTGTGTGTGTACGTATCTGTATGTGTGTATGGTAGCCAACTCACGGTCCAGAGCAGGTCCTGGTGTATGATGAGTAGCCGTACGAGGTGGGCCGCCCCGGCTGCGCCCTGCATCTCCTCAAGCTTGGCGTTCTTGCCCCGGTAGGTGAAGAGGTTGGGAGCCACGATCATGGACACGTTCCACAGACCCATTCTGTTCTTCTCCTCATAGGCTACCACCTTCCTCAGGAACTCCAACAGGGCCTGGAGGGGCACAGAGAGAGAGAGGGGTTAGAGTGGGTGTGTGCGTGTGGTTAGTGTGTGTGTGTGTGTGTGTGTGCACGTGAAATCGGTTCAGCACATCACTGGGTAAATCTGGCCTGCTGATCCTAAATGTGGCAACACTAAGCACACTCTCACACATCATCCTATCTATGTACACTCAGGAAGAGATGACATCACTGGGTTATCAAACCGGTTTTCACTCCACACCTTCAAATACCCAGCTCAGGCAAAAATCTAGTTTAGCTTTAAAAAAACCTATTGTATCATCATAACGCCGCTCAGCTTTCTAAAGATATAATTTAACTATACTCTATATAACAATAATGAATATGTATATATGAATAGTGTGTAATCTTTTTGTTGTCTTCCCTAATATATATATATAAAAAAATATATATTAAAAAAAATATCAGTTATGTTGTTCTTGTCTATTAGTGTTCTGTACTTTGTCATGTATTTGTACGTTTTATGTGGATCCCAGGAAGAGTAGCTGCTGCATGTGCACTAGCTAATGGGGATCCTAATAAACTAAACACCCAGATGACTAAAGGGTAGAAACCTCTGATCTAAACTTCACACAATAACCTCTTTCTGGAACTACACTTAAACCTGACTTGTTGCTCTTCAGGTTCACTTCACGTGCGCCAAGATAACTCATCATATTATGCCTTGACTGAGGCTCAAGGGTTTAGCGACACAATGTTTGTTTACATGTTACGAACCACCCCTTTAGAATGGAATGTCAGTCATTCATGGTTGTGACGATTGGCTAATGAGTCATAGGAATGCATCAGAAATACATAGTTGGACGCAGTTGCCCAATTAAAAAAACAAAACTCTTAGCCCCTGCACATATTTGAGATATTTTAGGGTTGGATAGGATAGGTGTGTGTTTTGGGTTGTGAGGTCAAAGTTCATAGAGTAGTCTTTCAGTCCATGGTCATGAGTCTTAGAATAGCCACAAAGGACACGAACCCTGTGCAGAGACCAAAGGTGAATAAAATGGTGACTTGACCTTTAGGGTCGTAGGTCAAAAGGTTAGGTGAGACATGCTCACCTTGAGTGTGTCTCTGTTGGGCTCAGGGAGCAGCATGATGAGGAGATGCAGGGCCTGGATCTGGTGTCTGGGAGAGGAGATATCTGAGAAGGTACAGAGGGGAAAACACATTGAAATCTCACACCACACACACACACACCTCCCCATTGACTGATAAGGTTAAGTGTTGTTAACTGTTAAGAGTATACTTTAGAGAGGACATTTAAATTAATCATAAATATGAATTTTACGTGTACTGTAATGAATGTTGACCAGGGTGATATACAGTATGAAGGACGGAAGAATTGGAGTCTCTGCTTACTGGGCAGTTAATGCACCTTCGCTGGGTGTATAAGGGGCTGACCAGTTGAGGGTGTCAGAGAGCTATTTTAGTGTTTCTACATATGTACTGTATACACTTCATGGAAAGAGTGTAGGTAGGCCTGCGTGTGTGTACTCACTCTGTGCGGCGGAGAAGGCAGGAGCGTGCTGGAGCGTGAGCAGAGGATAAGGCAGCTCTCTGATGAACATCTTCAGCAGGCCCGCTGCGTCATTGTGCCTCACCTGCTCCCAGTCAAACCGGTCCTCATAGAACTTCTGCTCCAGCTCCTGGCGCAGATGCTGCAATAACAATCGCCAAATCAAAATGGCTCCTCCTCTGGTAAACCTCAACTCTATAGTCACCTGGGTTGACGTGCCACCTAACAAACCAAAATGGAGGGGGGTGGGGGTACATCCCCTGCTTCAGTCCACTTGTCCTAGTGCTGGAAGGAGGGTATCCAGACCAGACCAGAGGGTAGGGAGAGGTGGAGAGGCAGGCCTCCCTCAGCCTGTGAGTGATGCTGTAGGAGTGGGGATATCAGGGCTGACAAACTCGAGAGTCTACCCCAGTGAAGGCTCACTCTGTCTGGAGGGACAGGTTTTTATCTGTGGGCCCCTGGTCTGGCTGGGTATCATGTTAACCGCAGGGGCCTTTTGACAGTAGGGCTCTACTAGTACGAAATATGTTTTGGTTGAGGAGTGCAAAGCACATGCACGTGCACACTCTCACACACAGATATGCTACACACAAGTAGGCACAGTGGTACGCACGCACGCATGTACATACGCACACCTGAGCCAATCTCCCTAACACAGAATGACTGCATGAGAGACAAGGAATGTGGGAATGATAAGGGGAGAGATGAGTGTAGGGAGGAGGGACACGGCCGTGTTTTAGACGGCAGAAATAGGTCAGTCATTAATATGGTTTATGAGCATGATGTCATTTCCTGCCAAAACAACCATTATTCCAGGCCATTGAAAACACATCTGTCCTTTACAACCTTAATGTGGGCTCATAGAAGATAGGGTTAAGTACAGCAACAAATGAAAAAAGATAAAACATGAAGTCAATCTTTCCCTTATTGTAAAAACAATGTCACACAGACTTTACAAGGTCACTTTTAAGATAGCGCTATGATTGCTGCTTGACAGTTATAGTGTGACAAACTCCAGTGTGTGTGGTGTGTGTGTGTGGTGTGTGTGTGTGTGGTGTGTGTGTGTGGTGTGTGTGTGTGGTGTGTGTGTGGTCTTACCTTTACTCTAGAGGCAGACCCTGGTACTCTGAGAATCCCCTCAGCCTGTAGTCCTGTCTGCTCCAGCTTCGACAAGAGCTGCAAACACACAAGCATACACATTTTATAAACCACATGTTTTACAAGCCAAGAGGGACATTTCTATGTGAACCTGACTCATCCGTAAACAGAACCACCCAAACGTAACTGCATTCGTTTCCTCTTCCTTGTTTTCACAGCAAAAGCATTGTTGATAACACACAGTAGAACTGTGTGTTAGACCCTAATGGGAAGTTATTTGTGACAGGAAAGTTTTCAAACCACTAAGAAAACAGCATTCAATTCATTTTGACAACTAGTGATAAAAGCACCCACAGATTCCTTACTTGGCCCTTGATGTGTTTGTTTTCCATTGCCCTACTGAACAAGACTCAGGTCTGGGTAGGCGACTTCAGTCATCTCGTCTCTACATTCCAGGAGTGGAAAGATGTGCCCGAGTCAGCGCCTTGAGATAACGCTAATAGAACCCTCTGTCTCTCACACAAGTGGTGCACTCCAAAACAAAAGACAGAGACAACCCTCCTGTTTCCTGCCTCTTACTGAGGACTGAAGAGATATTTTGCTTTAAAAAAATAAAAAAAGGTCCACTCTGTAACTTCTAGCAACAGTAAACTGTGTGGTAATAACACATGATCATTTTTGTTTAGGAGGGCTGAGGGATCTTTGCAAGACCACAGGAGAGAGTAAGGCAACCCATTGTATTTTATGACAAACTTTGGATCCCAAAGCCTAACTAACTACATGTTTACTAGACCAAACAAAATCATCATCCTGAAGCAACCTCCTTCATCAAGTCCTCCAGCAGAAACCATATAGCAACACTGACATAGCAGTGAACTAACTATTGCTTCAAAATAAATAAAGTCCTATTATTCCCTTTCGGAAGCCACTGTTATCTACCAAATCTTTTAAACACCACCTTGATACCCCATACTCTAGTCATGTCCTATACACGCCCTGTCAGTCTAGACAGTCAATGCGACAAGAGTATTTAAGGCTAATTCTGGTTGGACAGGAATGACTGCCGCTAACAGGGCTAGCTCCTTAAGTCTCAGCTCTACCATATGGCATCCTGGCAATGCCAAGGTTAGGGTCATCCCCCCTAACTGGCAGCTGCTAGGACTCTAAACAGTCAGACAAATTCTTTTTCAGTACAGCTCCTTATATACCGGCCCACCTATATTCAAAAATATGAGTTATCAGAGCTAACATATTCTATGATAGAAATTGACAATGACTAACATACTGTACATCCCTAGCTCATTTGACAACACAAATGAAAATATATATATTTCAGCTTATGATTCAAATCAAATCGGCCACATGCGCCGAATACAACAGGTGCAGACATTACAGTGAAATGCTTACTTACAGCCCTTAACCAACAATGCATTTATTTTTAACAAAAAAGTAAAAATAAAACAACAAAAAAAATAGAAAAAGAAAAAAAGAGCAGAAGTAAAATAAAATAACAGTAGGGAGGCTATATATACAGGGGGGTACCGGTGCAGAGTCAATGTGCGGGGGACACCGGCTAGTTGAGGTAGTTGATGTACTTGACTCTCCTCCTTCTCCTCCCCTGATAGTTACGTTTAACAGGAGCATCTGGTACCCTTCTGACATTTAGTCTCTCCGGAATGTCTTTGTGATAACACGTGAGAAAGCAATGCTTAACCAGGCTGACAAGTACTGATAGAGAGGAAACAGGAGGAGAAATAGGCACTTGTAGAAAGCAGTCAGTGAGTGGGGCTTGTGCTGACACACATTAGGTTAACGCAAAGCTGTAATGGCCAACTCACTCACACCACACACACACACACACAGCTGAGGAGGAGAAGATGGGGAGAGTGTTGTTGTCAATGGTTCTGGGAAAGGGTTAGAACTAAACACGTACAGTACCTTTCTGAACACAAGAGGAACCTTGGACCCAGGGAATTTCTTCTGGTCGTTGTCCAATAGAGTGGTCAGGGGAACTCCAAATATACCACTTTCTGTGGAGCGGGAGGGAAAAGAGGAGGGTTCAAAACCATAGTGACTGTTCATGTATAAATGGGATGTGTAACACCAGAGTTGTGTTCATTATGGCAAGCGTCTGAAAACGTCATAGAATGCCTAGTCCCGCCGTGTTTAAGTGCGTTTTCATCCATTTGGTGCCTAATGAACACAACCCAGTCAACCAGCCACCCACCTCTGGCCTTGCTACGTGCCGCTCGGTTGCGTTTGAGCTCGATGCCCAGGCCGTCGTAGAAGGTGGTCAGTTCAATCAAAGAGATGTAGCCGATCTTCTTCATGTCCTCACAAGACAGGTCCTGGATGCGGGTGAGGCCCAGTTTAGGCCTGGGCAACTGAAATGTCTGTACAAGACAACACCATTGTCATCCATTAGAAACAGTCTCGATCATCAACACATCAATTTTACATATTCAAAACTGGTTCCTGGAGGGCGGCCTAGTGGTTAACACAGCTGCCTCCAGACCAGACCACAAACAGCCCCCTACGGCAGGGGTTCAAATCCCCGCTCTGCCACTTTTTGTTCTGCACATCCCCTTCAATCTCTAATGTCCTACTGTCTGAATAACTGTTGTTTTTAGTTCCATTCCCCTTTAAACAAAAGGTGAGAGGTGAGACTCACTGGCAGGTCTGGGTCGTCTCCGCGGATGCGTTGGCAGTCCTTGCAGTCCCCATGGCGGCCCCTGCGGTGGGCAGTGATGCCCTCGGAGTAGGGCACCTCGAATGACAGGGAGTCAGAGGTGTCCTGAGGTGGCGAGCAGGGAGGGCACTCTGAAACATGGCACTCTGTGCTCTGGGAGAAGCTGGGACACGCAGGCCGCCCTGGAACACCCACACCAATCTCAATGATGGATACATCACCGGTATATTCCCCTATGCACAGACATCAGTCCAACCAACCAGATGGGAATGATCTATGTTGACGACTTAGTCAAAGTCCAATGTGTTTTCCACATTGATTAAATCACGCTGACAGAATTAGGCTCAAATAGCATGGAAACAACATTGATTCAACCCATTGGAGCGGTTACTTCACAATGGGTAACTCCAGCCAACCACATCAAACCAAACTAACAGGGGACATTAAAATGGTGGTAACATATTGAGAGACGATAGACTCACCTCTAGAAGACGTCCGGTGGATGCATCTGGAAGGCATGTGTCCATTGGGTGACTTGGAGGACACCGAGGGTATGGGATCAACTGGCTAAAAGGACAGGGGACATACATGATCATCATTTATGCTCATTCGATGTGTGTGGAGTTTGTTTCACAAAACAAGTATGATCAACAGGTAAACATAAGCTTTTTGAAGTGGGACGCATGAAAAGATGGATGGTGCTTTAGCATTCAACTATGGTGAAATTAGTTAGTGTTAGATTATTCTAAACAATCACAGACATTGCTGTGAACTGAACTAAACACCAGCAGTATCAGACGCAGTACCAGATGTCTGAACAGCGATGAGGGATACGGTGGTTTGATTCCTATGCATTGACTTCCATATTATGGCTACGCAGTACATTTGCTGAGAGGAAAGTGGATATCAATGGAACAAAGGAGCGTTCAATAGAGACAGCTGTTTTGTTTTGTTGTACACATACTAGTCAGTGAAATAAGCATGGTCAACGGTTACGGACAACGCTGGCAGAATTGGCTGGAAACCAAACCTCATGGTCAGCAGCACTAGGACATATAAATACAGGCTAGATACTGTAGGCTACATGTACCTAAATATTCATTTACATTTTAGTCATTTAGCATACCCCCTTATCCAGAGCGACTTACAGTTTGAGTGCATACATTATTTTAATTTTTTTCATACTGGCCCCCCGTGGGAATCGAACCCACAACCCTGGCGTTGCAAACGCCATGCTCCACCAACTGAGCGACATCCCTGCCAGCCATTCCCTTAGACCACTGTGCCACTCGGGAGTCATTTCACAGACAGAGAAAGAGCTTGAGTCCATAATATAGCCATGTAAATACATACGGTACACCTAAATACACAATGGTACTGTATATGTCATGGTATACTTGTACTGCAATGGTTGAGGGAACTAGCACACAAGCGTTTCTCTGCACCTTTTCTACCAGCTGTAAACTGTGTACGTGACAAATATAATTTGATGTCATGGTAAGCAATTAAAATGACTATATTTGCTTTTTCTTTCCAATGCTGTCCCCTTACAATACACCAACCAAACACAAAAGAGAGGCACCACCATCTTTCACTGTTAGATTATGACAAAAGTGGCCATGGTCTAATCTATCCTCGTCCAGACTTGATGGCCTTTTTTTATGCGTCTAGATTTGTTTACGGCCCAGTTCAATGTCCTTGAGGCCTTAATTCATTTCCCTAATCCTACTAAAACACCAACAGTAGTCTGTGGGGCCTGCCAGTAGTCTGCCAGTGGTATGTGGGGCCTGCTAGTAGTCTGCCAGTAGTCTGTGGGGCCTGCTAGTAGTCTGCCAGTAGTCTGCCATTCGTCTGTGGACCTGCCAGTAGCCTGTGGGGCCTGCCAGTAGTCTGTGGGGCCTGCCAGTAGTCTGCCAGTAGTCTGTGGGGCCTGCCAGTAGTCTGCCAGTAGTCTGTGGGGCCTGCCAGTAGTCTGCCAGTAGTCTGTGGGGCCTGCCAGTAGTCTGTGGGGCCTGCCAGTAGTCTGCCAGTAGTCTGTGGGGCCTGCCAGTAGTCTGCCAGTAGTCTGTGGGGCCTGCCAGTCGTCTGCTAGTAGTCTGTGGGGCCTGCCAGTAGTCTGTGGGGCCTGCCAGTAGCCTGCCTGTAGTCTGTGGGGCCTGCCAGTAGTCTGCCTGTTGTCTGTGGGGCCTGCCAGTAGTCTGTGGGGCCTGCTAGTAGTCTGTGGGGCCTGCTAGTAGTCTGTGGGGCCTGCTAGTAGTCTGTGGGGCCTGCCAGTAGCCTGCCTGTAGTCTGTGGGGCCTGCTAGTAGTCTGTGGGGCCTGCCAGTAGTCTGTGGGGCCTGCCAGTAGTCTGCGGGGTCTGCCAGTAGTCTGCGGGGCCTGCCAGTAAGACAGTATTTTAGCTGGAGTAGGGTGAAGGCTTTCTGTGTCCCGGACTCAGCTGTCATCCCAACTGGGACTGAGTGGTGTGACTCATAATCCTGTGCCCCCTGCCAGATCTGTGACTCACCCTAGAGGCTCCTGTCACCGCCACACAGCAGTGCTGACAGGGGCACTTCCCATGATAGACAACTGCAAAGAATCCACTAGGCCGAACACAATCTGTGGGCTTGCTACCCGATATATGACCAACCCTTCTACAGAATTACAACGCTGCTGTGCTATATGACGCCATTTGATCTCAGCAGTGTTCAGTGCACCGCCATCTGAAAACAGAATGGGACTTCCTTGTTGCCCTTGTCATGTAAACCCTCCTTCACATTCCAGCTACCAGTCAGTCAGTCAGTCAGTCAGTGGGGCAGTTATATTTCTGGAGAAAGAGGGGACAGCTGCCCCCACCAGCTGAGAGCTGAGTTATAGAGCTGGGCAAGAATGAGCAAGAGCTCATCGTGTTTCCACCATCCACCCCCGCTCCTCTAACAATTGCCCGTGCCAGAGCAAAGTATATATGCATCTATGCCTATAATGGTTCTGGCCCATACCAACTGGATCGGTGTTTTAAGGCTGGGGGGGGTGACATCCTGAGTATCGGAAGCACGTCTACTGGACTCCTCTCCTTACTCTAGTTCATCTCTGACACACAGGAGGCTTGTCTGGCTCTACCAGAGGATCAGTAGCACAGCTGAGAATACTATATCCAGATGAACTGAGGCCATAGGGGCACTGAGGGGCAGAGGCACCAGTTATAGCGTACAAAGGGCCAGACATGAGACATTTTAGGATTTCAATGGGAAATATACAGACTCAAACTCCATAAACATAATTGCGAAGTGCTTAACCCAAAGCGCCGTAGACGTATATTTATATGGATAATAAATGATGCCCAGCCATTTGTCTCACCGATGTGTCTGGCGTGGAGAAGACGTCTCGGACATGTCTGGTCGGCTGCTTGTTCCTCTTCCTCATGGTCAGGGTATAGTTGTCCACACGTTTCTTCACCATGGCTGCCTGCGAGCGCGTCAGTGTGGAGAGCAGCGCCTCCGCAGGCCCCTCCCCCAACGCCCCCGACACCAGTGTGGACAGACCCGCCTCCTGAAGCCACGCCTCCTCAAGCTCCACCTCTGGAATGTAGAGGACGAGTCAGAGATAAATCCGTATCCATAGCATCTATCAGAATCTGCATTTGTATCCATCTCTATGGCAAGGACTCCAAAAGAGCACACCAAGAGTTGGGGTCCATTCCATTTCATATTTCCTTAATGGAATTGAACTGGAATTGAGCCCAACTCAATACATATTACATTTTAGTCATTTAGCAGACGCTCTTATCCAGAGCGACTTACAGTTAGTGAGTGCATACATTATTATTTTTTATTTATTTTTTCATACTGGCCCCCCGTGGGAAACGAACCCACAACCCTGGCGTTGCAAACGCCATGCTCTACCAACTGAGCTACATCCCTGCCGGCCATTCCCTCCCCTACCCTGGACGACACTGGGCCAATTGTGCGCCGCCCCATGGGTCTCCCGGTCGCGGCCGGCTACGACAGAGCCTGGATTCGAACCAGGATCTGTAGTGGCGCAGTGCCTTAGACCACTGTGCCTTAGACCACTGCACCCTAGGTCTATAAATGGCTAAAAGCACAATTTCCTTGTAAGTATGTAGCCTACCGTCCATACTCCCCCTCTCCAGCAGGTCCTCGTGGCCCCGCTGGCCGTCTTCCTCGATGTTCTTCACTTCACTCCAGTAGTCCTCCATGGAGTCCTGGGAGTCCCGTGCCGCCGGCCGCTCCGGTGGGCTAGGAGAGGTAGGGGGCCTGGTCCTCCTGGAACTCATTCTGCCTCGTAGGCCTTTCCCCTGGTACTGCTCCTTCCTGGGGTGGGGAGGGAGAAGGTCACTAAGTCAATAGGCTGGTATTGGGAGGTGGGGAGGAGATTGTAGACCATTTTTTGTAACACCAGAATTGGCTTAATTGTGAAAAACATAGATTTCAAAATACCAGATTCATACTTTGAGAAAAATAAATAAATAAATAGGCTACGTCAGACATACACTTTTCAAATCCCCTGTACTTTAGAAATTAATATATATATATATATATATATATATATATATATATATATATACACACACACACACACACACCTAGATAACAGACACTGGAAACTATATGAGGGGAATTTAACTCTCTATGGCCCTAGTAAAGACAGTGGAGGAGCTGGGGGGGCTTGTCTAAGGGTGATTATATTATCTTTCATTGCAAAATGAGCCCAGTATCACTTAGGCTAGCATGTCACACTGTGAATCATAGAAACCATTACGCATGCAGAAATGAATTTGGTGGGGCTGAATCACCATTCCTAATAAAGAAAGAAACTACTTTAGGCACTCGACCACAGTTTATATCTGTGATAAACATCTTTCTGGGAGGGAGTTCTCCCTTATTCACTCCTAAACACTGCATCCACTCAGAGAATCAAACAGCAGATACTTTAGCTACATGAAATAATGAAAGCAGCAAAATGTTTCTAAACAAACTGTCAATAATAGCAAACTGAAACCACATAACTTAACATGAAACTGGGCTGTAATTAACGTCTGGACTTTGGAAGACAACAGTGATAAATACATAACTTGCAGGATCATAAACAGACAATAAGACTAGCAGGAAACTACTCATTAGAAAAACGCAAGTTGCAGATGGAGCTCCTATAAGCTGCGTATGTACACGAATGAGCAGTGGTGTAAAGTACTTCAGTAAGAATACTTTAAAGTACTACTTAAGTCCTTTTTTTTTTTGGTTATCTGTACTTTACTATTTATATTTTTGACAACTTTTACTTCACTAAATTCCTGACACCAAAAAGTACTAGTTACATTTAGAATGTTCAGGCAGGACAGCAATCTGGTCCAGCTCACACACACCTATCAATATAACGCATTGTCAACTGATCTGGCGGACTCACTAAACACAAATACTGCATTTGTAAATTATATCTGAGTGTTGGAGTGTGCTCCTGTCTGTCCGTAAATAAATAAAAATCATGCCATCTGGTATGTTAATATAAGGAATATTATGTATAGCATTTAATTTTACTTTATACTTTTACTCAAGTATGACAATTGAGTACTTTTTCCACCACTGTACTTAAGCACATTTAAAACCAGATACTTTTACTCAAGTAGTATTTTACTGGGTAACTTTTACTTGAGTAATCATCTATTTCGGTACAGTGTCTTTACTTTTACTCTAGTATGACAACTGGGTACTTTTTCCACCACTATGAATGAGGGTGGCTGTGCACCACTTCACATGTATGAGCATGTTAGCAGTTTAGATAGCTGGCTAGACTAATTTACAAATCAAAAAAAATTCCGCTGACATGGGCTTATTGAGTGACTGACATAAGAGACAAACAGCTAATGCAACCAAATTTCAAAATTGCACCTTGTGTATTCCAGTATTCTAACGCTCAACCTTAATTTGGCGTTTGATGTCCGTGCATCTACATCGCTTGCCGTTTTGGGGTTTTAGGCTGGGTTTCTGTATAGCACTTTGTGACATCTGCTGATGTAAAAAGGGCTTTATAAATACATTTGATTAATAATTGAATTTGAGACCACTATTGACTTCCCCCAATTTTGGGGAAATTTATCCGCAGGTCTACATCTGGGCTGCCAGCTACCCATCCTAATTTTAGGCTATGTGCTGTGTGCATACGCGTGATCACGCCTTGACATAAACAAACCCATACACCATCATACGGAGTCCATCCCCACTCCTAAAGCCATGTCTTTCCCACAGGTCTACCTGCTTCCAGTCACAGCCTGGTTCCCATTATAACTCCTAATTACAGAGAGGCTTGGTGACGTCACAAGTCCTTTCATTTCAGACAGGCAGAGTTATGAGTGGTCAGGAGAGCAGTACCTGGTTGTGGTCTGTTGCCCTCATATACCTGTACGGTTGGCCCCCCTGTCTGATTGGGTCTGATGTCTGATCTGATGGGCCAGGTCAATGCTGGGATAGCAGGTTCCTGGTCCATGATGATAGGATGGGAAAGGAACGTGGCAGAGTAATGAGGGCAGTGTCTCTCTCACACACACTTGGGAACACACTTACCCAGGCACACACACCCTTATCTCCCCCTTTACAGCCGGAGGAGGTACATGAATAGGAGGCGAGGGGAAGGCCTCTTAGGGATTTCCTACTATCTACTCAGCATGGAAACCTTCCCAATTTCATTAAATTCTGTTAAAATGCCATTTGTTTAATTTGCTGCACAATGGACGATATTGTTTGCAAGCTCACATGGGGCCTGAAGCACATCAGTATTCAGGGAAAAACATGCCTTCTTGTTTTGCATTCAAATATTGGTAAGTGTGTGTGTGTGTGTGTGTGTGTGTGTGTGTGTATGCCAGGAAGCTGGCCCTGGCCACACTTAGGGGGATGTTATTGATTAGAGTGATGCATGCTGGGGGTCCGAATGGAGCGGAACTTTGTTTTAATGCGTTTTTGTTCCCTTGGGTGCCCCTCTACCTCACGCTCCTCATGTTATCACGTGAGATTTCCCAGAATAACATATAGGCCTATAGTATGCTGTCCATTACAGGAAGAGTAGCTAGTATGATGGGTGGTCGAGTGCACCAAGGCAAAGAATAAGCTAAGAACACTTTGAGCCTATAACTATCCATATTGATATATGCTTAAAACACACAGATATCATGACAATTCAAATGAACACACAACTTTGTTCTAGGAATTCATGTGAGCAGGATAAAATAACAATTCCAGGTGTAAGTCTGGTCTGTTGACACAAAGAAATATGCCGTGCTTGTTGAAGAGCAGGTTTGGGTGTGTGTGTGTGTGTGTGTGTGTGTCTCTGTGTATATGTTACAGCTTATCAGCACATAAGCATTACGTTGGAGGATGTACACCATGAATATCCCGTACATACAACTTGAAACAACTCTTCACCGTCTCTGAACAACAGCTACATCACCTGCTATGATGCTGGCAACTGAGGGGACATAAGTCAGGTCCAGTATTCACAAAACATCTCAGAGTAGGAGTGCTGATCTAGGATCAGGTCTTCTCTCTGGCCATAAATGTTATATGATCTTAAAAAGAGAAAAAAACTGGATCCTAGATAAACACTCCTACTCTGAGACGCTTTGAAAATACTGGCCCTGGTTATTTTTCTAGAACAGAGTCAATAGTAGACATACTAAGTCACCTCGGTTGATTCACAGTGGTTCATCCCCAACCTCCAAAACATCAAAAAAACACATCTGGCTCAAACCCAAAATGAAAGAAGCCTTATAAGGTGAAATCCAGAAGTGTGAGATCAGTAAAAACATGTGTGACACAGACACACTTAGTTCGAGGCAGTCATTTCCCCTCAGGTCACGTTAAGGAGGTTTTGTAAAGAAATTCAAGTTGATGAGTAAGAGTTTTAGATGGAGAGATTCCCAATTCAGGTGTTGGTAGTGTAGGGACAGGATAACACCATTCCATCACCACGGATACCATACTACAGGGGATACATACCGGTAGTCATACTACAGCTTAGGAAATCTATAGAACCATCATTCCATTCAAAAAGCTATCTTGTCCATCATGTGGCTACCGTTACACTACAGTCAATTCAGATGAAATGAATGTACTACAATCCCTAAGTCTTCAGGTGTGCTTCTTGGTAAGATGTCCAAAATAAGAAATTGCATGGAATTGCCCATAATCCATGACCACTGACTAAAAGCAAAAGTACTGAATGTTCTCAAAGGAAATATCTTAGTAAATACAATAAGTATCCATCAATACAGACAGTCTATTTGTTAATGTTCCACTTCACGAGAATCAATACATGAACACACACACGCTAACACACACACACAAACGCAAGGAGAATTACATTTCAGAGGAGGAAAAAGCAAATTACCTTTCAGTTCCTCATCCAGCTGGAGAGAAGAGAACAGGAGGGGAGCGAGTGAACTCTAGTGATCTAAAAGAGAGAGAGGTGCCTGTCTACAGTATATAAACAAAGCTGTTTGAAGCCAGGCAGGGAGACAGAGAGGGTGAGAGACAACCATCTCAGGATATCCTCCTACAGACTGAGAGTCTCTGTGGAACCCAAGCTCATCTCTCCTCCCACACACACCTCTCTCTCGCGCGCGCTCCCTCTATCCCATTCCCACTCCGCAGGAGGCACACAAGTTTCCAGTGTCCAGCTTTCTCCCTCCTTCCATCTATCCGCCAGTCTCTTTCACCCCTCCCTGTCCCCTGCCCTGCTCCCCTCCCACTCCCCGGCCCCCTCTGCCCTGTCCAGCTCCCCTGCCCCGCCTCCCGTCCCGCTCCCTCGACACATTTACTGCTTACCATTCCTCTTCTCTGCTTTCATCTTTGCCAAGCCTCAACTCCCTCTTTAAAAAGGTCATTACATGCCCACATCTCTCCCTCGCTCCACCTCTTTTTCTCTCCCTCTCTTCCTGACAGATTCAGTAGAGAAAGAGTGAGGGAGAAAGAGAGAGAGCGAGCGAGCGAGCGAGCGAGCGCATGGCAGTTAACTTGTGGTACATTTAAGAAATGTCTCTTAAGGGCAAACCTAACCGATAATGAGTCTAATTAGGAATAGCACTCACATTACTACTGTAATTTATTTATAACATCATCCCTGTATTTACACTAAGTGTATACAGTGCTACTATTCTTAATACAAATCACTCTTAAAATGTGAAAAACCTGGAATACAAACAATTTCAAGTACATTAACAGTGTTATACTCTTGCTGTGCATCCCAGCGGTCCTGTTATAAGTGAATAACTTGCAAAAAGCTCTGCTCAAAACAATTTCATTTAAATATCTTTAAAAATTGTTTT